ATTGAGCTGGACACCCCTGTGGTGACAGCAGAGCAGGTCCAGGCCCTGGAGGAGAGCGTGAACGAGAAAATCCGGGACAGGGTCCCTGTGACAGTGAGGGAACTGGCTGCCGATGACCCTGAAGTTGAAACAGTGAGTGGTGGGGGAGAACTGATGCTATTGATGGAATAACTGAGCACAGAGATGTCACCTGCTTTGTCACCCTTCTCCTCTGCCAGGTCAGGAGCCGGGGGCTGCCCGATGACCACGCGGGGCCCGTGCGGGTGGTGGACATCGAAGGCATCGACTCCAACCTGTGCTGTGGGACCCATGTGTCCAACCTGAGTGACCTCCAGGTGGGCTGCAGCAGCTGGGCTGCCTCTGGGGGCCACGCTCCCTCCACATGAAGTACAGCCAGAGTCCCTGGGATCCACAGGCTGCTCCAGACTCTGCTGATGGGGAAGGGGTGGCAGAGCCCCAGGCTGAGGGAGCCCCAGGAGGGTCACACATGGGCTGGGTGCCACAGGTGCTTTTGTTTCCTTGTTGCAGAACTCAGCCCTGTGTACAGCAGTGATGTTTCTGCACTGCCAGGGGTGTTGGCCATGTTCCCTCTGCTTAAAGCTCTGATATTTTTGAGCGTTCAGCATGGATGAGACGTCTGTGCAGGGAAATGGTGATAAAATTCTAGACCTGCCTTTAAGTATTTGTACTTTCTCAGTCATTGGTTAGAGTTTCCCAGCAGATACATCCAGATGCCTTGTAGAGTACATCCCATGGCTAGAAGATTGCATAAATTCCATTGTACCACCATGCCTTTTTTTTTATGTTGACCTTATGGCTGATTTTAATAAATTTATTTTTGCTAGCAGAGAGTCAAAATTCATCACAGGGCATAATCTGACAGGAACTGACCACCTATGTGAATCACCAAAATGCTGTTCTGACCAGGTTGATTTTCTTTTGAAGGTTATTAAACTCCTTGGTGTGGAAAAAGGGAAAAAGAACAAAACCAACTTGGTTTTCTTGGTGGGAAACAGAGTGCTGAAGTCAGTCGAACAGAGTCACAGTACTGAGAAGGCTCTAACCTCCCTGCTCAAGTAATCCCCTTTCCACTTTTGTTATTTCATCTTCACTCCTCCTCCTGAGAGATGCCACATAAGCCTCAGGGTACATGTTGTGGGGCTGAGTGTGATGTTGTCTGTTTTGCTCCTTTAGGAAATCCTTCCTCTGTCCTTCAGAGTAGTGATCCAAAGTCTCCCATTTCTTTCAGAAATGGACCAGGTGAGCACGTAGAGGCTGTGAAGAGACTGCAGAGCTCTGTGAAACTGCTCCAGAAGGTACAAGAATGGCTGGGAAAAGTGGGTTGTCTCTATTTCCTGTAGACCATTAGTTGTGGTAACTGGGAGTCAAATCATTGGCTTCAGTTTTTGTGGATTTTCTGAAAAGTGTTCAAACCTCTGGGAACACCACTGTGTTCACACTGGCTTCTCCAGCTGCAGTACAGTTAATTTTCTTCTCTTTCAGAATAACCTGAACCTGCTTAGAGACATTGCTGTTTTGATAGCCCGGGACTTCAAGAGCAAACCTGCTCCAAAGCAGCTCTTTGTATTGCACAGGTATGGGGGGCTCAGGGAAGAGGGGCCAACAGTATCCCACAGCTTTTATGGCACTTTAAACAAATGAAATAGAATATTAAAGTGCCTTGGCCTGCTGCAAAGTTGTGGAATTAAAGGAATCTGTAATTCAGTCACTAAATTCTTCTGGTGCTGTAGCTGAGAAATTGCTGTGTCCATCTAATTCCCTCTGCACTTGATATTTTCAAGTAAAACCAGGGAGCTCTATTTCTTAGAGATAACACTTGCATAATTCCTAAAGTGTTCACAGCAGTGCCCAGTGAGGATTTACATCTATAGACAAATAAGAGCAAATCCCTGATCAGGCACTTGGTTTCTGATTAAGATTTTGTACTCTAGAGGGGGGTTTTGCTCCTTTCTGAAGTATTTTTTTTTTTATCCATCCATACAGGAAAGAGGGTGATTCCGAATTTATGAACATCATCGCTAATGAGATTGGGACAGAGGTGAGTCACTGATGAAGACTAAACTGACACCCCTGGTTTTCCACCCCAGTTTTACAGAGACAGGGGCTGGCCAGGCTGCTGTTCCTGCCACAGTCATGATCTGCAGATCTGGTTCCTTTGACAGGTACCTGAGGTTACCTGTGCCCAGCAGCCTCAGTCTGCAGGGCAGTCCTCAACAGTGAGAATTGAGAGCCCTGGAGAAGAGCCCCCAAGAGCTGTACAGAGGCTCACTGGCTGAAATAGGTTAGGATAGGATTAGGTAGGAGTAGAATAGAAAGAGCAGCAAGTTTCAGTCACAATCACCTAGTTCAGCTGCATCCTTTTAACTTGGGATACCCCAAGCAGTGTCGGTCTCAGTAATGCACACAGACTTCTGAATTGTCAGTTGGGTGTTTGTGTCCTGTGGCCAGTGTGGAAAGCACTGATTTATCTGGAGTAAGGCCCATCTCTGTCCACAGGAAACCCTGCTATTCCTGACTGTGGGAGATGAAAAAGAAGCAGGACTCTTCCTTTTAGCTGGACCTGTTGAAGCAGTTGAAAATTTAGGTCCCAGGTAACGTTTTGTGATTTGTTTAATTCTGAGTATGTTGTAGACATGATGAGCAGCTGCACAGTGTGATCCAGGCAGGGATCTGTGTGTGCTGTCTGCAGCAGCCTGGGCTCCAGCCTGTGCTGTTGCTGCTGCAGGGTGGCAGAACTGCTGGGAGGGAAAGGAGCTGGGAAGCGCGGCCGCTTCCAGGGCAAGGCAGCCAAGATGAGCCGGCGAGGAGAAGTGCAAGCTCTGCTCCAGGAATTCATTAGCAATCAAAACCCTGGAGCATAAGAGACAATTCTCAAAGCAGGTTTGTCTTATATTTGTTTGCATAGGCTCCACAAGCTTCTCTACCAGAGAATAAAGACCTGAAACCAACAGCTGGTGTGCACATGCTCTGCGTGGGCTGCTCATGGAAATGGGGAAGGGATCTGCCATCAAGGCTTTGCTGCAAGGGCTCATTTCTCAGGACAAATTGTGCAGGGATTAAAGTAGTCCTTAGTTAACCACTTTGTAGGGTTCCCAAACTCAGAGGGGGCCTCCTGCTGGCTCTACTTTGGGCCATTTGCTTTGTGCCACTTGCTGAGGAGGAGTTGCTTGGCATGAAAGCTCAAGCAAGAGGCAGCTGGTCCCCCGAGACACCTTGGGCTGGGCAAGGGCAGAGAGCAGCCTGAAGGGAGAGCAGGTACCCCAGAGACAGGAGATCATTCCTCACCACGTACCAAGTCCTTTCCCTTGGTGGGGTGCAGTTGTTAGTGGTCGTTTTTTGACCATCAATAGTTTCCTGAGCTGCTGTAGCTGTAAACTCCCTTGGGATCAGGCAGAGCTGTCCCGGTGTTCCCTCAGTTCACCTTTCCTGCCCAGGCAGGCCCCAGAGCTGCTGCAGTCTCCTCTGGAGGAACTAAAGGGCGCTGTGGAGCCACAACGGGGCTCAACAGGTAATTTGAGAATTTACCCTTCCCCTTCTGGCTAGAAATGGCGTGACAGGTTTACCCCAGGTGTTGGTAATAAACAGAGAAACAGAATAAAAGAAACCTCCGTCCTAAGGAAGTTTATCTGTCATGAACAAGGGGAGAGGAGTAGCCCCAGCAGATTGGATTCCCACCCATGGCTGCTGTGACTGGTGCATGGCCACAGCCTTGGCTGAGCTGTTGGGATGGCACCAGAACAGAGGGAGCACCACTGAGGCCTGGAACTGGGTGTGGGGTCAGAGCTGCAGGGGCTGGTGCTTTGGGAGTGATCCTACACATGCACACAGAGTCTGGCAGGAAGAAAGTATCTGCACCTCCCTGTGAGTTTTGGACTATCTCAGACTGAGAGAGGATGTTTCCTGAGGAGGTTTAGCTGGGCTGTGCAGCTGCACAGCTTGGAGGGCAGCAGGCTCAGCCCACAGGACTTCCTGAGAGAGCACTGGGCTGGGGTACTGAGGTGGGAAGGGCATGACCCCAACCCCACACCATGGCAAAGTGCCAGTTCTGTCCCCAGCACCCTGGGGACTCGGCACAGCCCCAGTTGAGCCACCTGGTCCCAAAGCTGAGCTCACTTCTGTAAGCTATGAGGTGACACAAGTTTGTCCCTGTTCCTGGCACAAAGTGCACCCAGAAACCTTGGATAAACAGCACAAAAAGCAGCTCATTGCCCCCACTGTGCTGTCAGGGTTCAGCTGCAGCTCAGGACAAAAGATGAAGACCCAGGGCACTGTGCAGTGCCCTTTCCAGTGGCTTGAATGCGTCTTCAGCCCCCAGGAGAAATGTCCTAATGTCCTTCCTCTGCCATCTGCAGGCCATGGCACAACCCTGCATCCAGGAGCTGATCCCCCATCCCAGGGTGCTGGCCAGTAGGACACTCAAACTCTCCAGCTAAACAACCTTCATCTTTAATAAAACATCTCCTGTGCCCAGCTCCATGCCATGCATGTATGCCCCCACACTGATCACAGGGGTGAGCACCAAACGTCCCAGGGCTGGGGGTCCCTCACCCACACTGGCACTTGAACTCCATGTCAGTCTGTCCATTCCTGTCACAGAGCTGCCTCTTGAGCAGACCCCAGACTCGCTGAGGTGCCAGCCCTGCTGCCAGTGGCGCTGTCCCCAGCCCTGCAGCACAAGGTGGTCTGTCCCCACGAGCTGCAAGGGAGTGCAGGACTTCTCGCTGCTGCTGCTGGGTCCTGGGCAGAGGCCCCCCAGCTGTGGGTGCAGGAGGGGCAGCAGGGGAGTCGTGGCTATGCAGGGCTCTCTCTCTGTGCCACCAGCCAGCCCAGCCCAGCGGCACTGGCACTGTGGGTCCGTGTTGTGGGAGCCACCCAGCAGCACCACCGGCCCAGCCTCCACGGCCTGCTCCCAGTGCAGAACCAGTGGCTGAGGTGCACCCAGGGCCTGGCAGCTGCCCCTGAGCCACCCCTGGGGTGCCTTAGGCAGCCTTTTTGTGCTGTGTGGCCAGGAGCTGGGACAGGCAGTAGGGGATGAGGCCGACGGTCGCCAGGGGCACGGCCGCGCTCTTGCAGAAGGAGAGGGCGTAGAAGAGCAGCTGCACGTGGGAGGGAGGCTTGAAGGCATCAAAGACGTGGAGGATGAGGAGGGAGGCAGCGATGCAGCCCAGGCGGAAGAAGGGCAGCTGCTGGCCCTGCTTTAACCGGGAGCTCTCCTGGTACAGGTGGGAATTGAGGGCCAGCCCCAGCCCGAAGAGGATGCCCAGGTTTCGGAGGAGGCTGGCAAAGGGAGTGGTGTCAATGTGGACCCACTCAGGGTTGCTGCACCACTTCTGTGCCTTCTCCAGCGTCCAGAGCAGGTCCACGCCGAATGTCCACAGCAGCAGGTAGAAACCCAGGGTGAAGCTGAAGAGGAAGATGGTGATGCCCAGGTACCGGTGGAAGCTGGCGTGGTAGATGCAGCGGACGTGCTGGAAGGTCTTGGCCACAGCCATCCCTGCCCAGTAACAAAGTGGGAGCACTGGTCAGTGCTGCAGTGCTGCAGTCCAGCACAGTGGTGCTGCAGGGACAGGGAGGGGGGTCAGGTACACTCACCTGAGAACACCCCTGCAATCACCTGGTGGGGGAAGTGAGCGGCGATGAAGACTCGGGACATGCAGACACAGACCTGAACTGCCCAGAACCCAATCCAGAGCACTGTCCACAGCACCCTGTGAGGGACAGGTGGCCATGTGGGTGCCAGGGCCATGGGCATTGCCATCAGGTACTGCAGACAATGCCTGGCTGTCCCTGAGCCTGTCCCCATGCTGCAAGCCCACAGCCTTGCACCTTGGTGGGCTTGGCTGTGCCTGTCAGTGCTGGAGCCACCTCTGCCTGGCACAGGTGGTTTTGGCACACAGCTTACCAGTATCCCAGTGTCCTTGACTGCTTCTCTCCCCCAGCAGCAGAGAGCAGGGCTGTCACCATCACGTAGTACACGCCCGCTGCACCCATGGCATGGCCAGATGGGCTCCCTGGGCAAGAAGAGAGACCCAGGTCAGGCTCTGCATGGGCCAGAGCTCAGCACCCACAGGGGTTTGTGCTGAGCCACCACAGGGGTCAAGGTCTGCTCAGTGCAGGGGCTGCCCTGCCTCCTTCCCCTGCAGGCACAGCAGCAGCCTCTCTGCAGAGCTGTGCAGGGCTGTGTGCTCCCTGCAGGCTGCCAGCACCCCCCTCTTTGCCTGTTCATGGGCAAGCACCCCCTGCCCCTGGCTGCAAGCCCCTCCCATGGCTCAGGGAACCCTACCAGGTCCTGTCTCGCAGGTGAGAGGGAACTGCTGGATCTCTGGTGCAGAGCTGTTGCCATAATAGTCCGTGTCAAGGACCCACCAGTATGGTCTCTCCCCAAAGAGGATCCTGAAAAGAAAAGAGAAGGGCTCTGGGGAGGTCCAGGGCACAGCTGCAGCTTTAGATCTGTCCTGGGAGATGGAAGAAGCAAAGGACCCACAAGTGGTGCAGGGCATCCTGGCAGACTCAGGACCCAGCTGATTGCCTGGTTCTGACAGCTGACACTGCCTGCCCATGTCCCCATCCCCAGCCCTGAGGGAGAACAGCAAGAACGTCCTGGAAGCAAAGTCAATATTGCCTCCTGTGCTGAAGGGCTCTGTGAAGATCCCCCCACTCAGCACCACAGCCCTGGCTGATGGGAGGCTCTGTTTGCAGGAGGCTCCATCTCTGCTTGGAGCAGAGGGGGAGAGCTGTTCCTGCATGGCTTGGGAAGGAGTGACCATTGTCACTGCCCAGCTGGGGCTGAGAGCACCCAGCTGGCCCACATCAGTCCAGGTGTGCCAGCACAGGGGGGAGTGTTGGCTCAGGGGCCACTCACCACTTGAAGACGAGGTTGAGCCAGTCCCCGATGACAGCCACCCAGATGAGCCTGATGCCCACTGCTTCACTGAAGTGGAACCAGATGGGGAAGAGGACAAAAAAAGCATTCCTGAGATCAGCAGCATAGGAGATGAAGAGGAACCAGTCCTGGGAGCCCTGGAAGCGCTGCTGCAGCCAGTGTGTGGTCTGGATGCCCACATCATGCAGGAGGTTCATGTTGGCCTCCATCCTCCTCTGCTGCCCTCGGCGTGCCTCCGGCTGTCCCCTGCTCCACTGGGCCACTGGGGTTTTATACTCTGCAGGGTCTTGTTTGCAGCAGGCAGGTCACTGTCCCAGCACTGATCTTTGGACCCAAAACCACTCTTTCCAAAGGTACATCACCAGGGGGTTGTAACAAACATGTTTGGAACAGCTTACGTAAAAGGGGAAAACAGGTTGTGAGGGCACGTGGAGAGCAGTGCTCCAAGCCCAGCACCATCCCCTCACTCAGGGGGTTCCTGCAGCCCTGGCTCTTCCAGCGAGCCAGCACAACAGCTCTGAGTGACCCACAGCCCTTGCTCCTTGATCCCACACGCTGTGTGTGACAGTCCTGCAGAGCTGCCATGGCCAGGGCTGACAATTGCTCTGCTCTCTCTGCCATCCCCCTGTGAACCAGAGCGTGGTGAGGATGCCCAGAGCATGCAGTGGGTGCATGGAGCAGAGGGCAGACTGCCCACCCCCTCCTCATTTGCCAGGCTAATTTAACTTTGCATGATGGGAAACTTTCAAAGCCATTCCCGGAGGTCCCTGCAATCCCAGACATGCAGTCCCTGGGGTGCTCCTGGCTGCCAGTTGTGTTCTGATCTCTATTGGGGGGCTGAAGGACCTTTGCAAATAGGGACTGCACTGCTCCACTGGGTTAATCCCTCCTGCCCCATCAGACCCAGCTGTGGGTACAGAGCCCAACACAGAACTCATCCTGCAGCACCCATGGCCATCCCCTCCACCCCAGCTGCGCTCTGCTGTCCCTGCCAGCACTGCTGGCACTGCATCTTTGTCACCCACAGCTGCCAGTGCCTGGGCACAGCCCTGGGGCAGCAGCACAGGGTGCCCAGGCAGCATCCAGCACAGCTGAGCAGGCAGCAAGGCATTAATGATCAACAGCCAGTGAAATGCATCACTTCTCTCCCTCCTGAGAAAATTCATGTCAGGATCCTTGAACCCCTGCCCTGTGTTGTTTGTCTCTGGGAGAGCTGTGTCCAGCACTGAGTCCTGCTGACAAACAGCAGCACTTGCAGGCCCCATCCTGCCCCTCTGCCCGTGCAGAGCCCAGGGAGCCATGGGGTCTGACAGGCAAAGCACCAGCAAACCCCTCCTGGGGATATGGCCTGGGAGGAGAGCAGGCAAAGGCCACAGACACAGGCATGTCCCATCCAGCCTGGCTGTGCTGCACCCAAGGAAGGGGGTCCCAGACCCTGGACTGAGCTCCTGACCTGCAAAACATCCCAACAAAACAGGAGTTTGCACAGAAACCGAATGGCTCTTGCAAAACAAATTCCCCAACAGCTCACTCCAGGGTCTTCAACTGAGAGTGGCTTTGGCCAGCGTGAAGGAATGCAACAGACTTGGCTTCTGTTCCAAAAATATTTTGAAACCATCAGCAATAAATCCTTCCCAGGAGATTTCACAGCAGAAAATGGGGCAAAAGGTGTTGGGGGATGGGGGCTAGCACTGCAGTCCCCTGGGAAAGAGTCCCTGCAGGAAAACTGGGGCCCTAGTGGGGAGAGAGCAGGAAGCAGGATGGGAGCAGCCAAAGGACAGAGTGGCCCAGTCACTCTCAGCCAGTGTTTGTGCACTTGCCACTGGTCAGGACAGTGCCAGAGGTGCCAGGGCCCACATGGTCCCAGCCCTGCTCCCTGCCCTGCCCTGTGGATAAATCCCCAGCCCCAAAGTCCCTGTGAGGACCTGGGGAGCAGGAGCTGTGTGGGCTCTGCAGGTTCTGCATTCTGGCTGGTCTGACCATTGCTCAGGGTCCTGCTCATGCCCTGCACCCCTCCCCTGCCCATCCCTGCTCATCCCTGCAGGGATGTGCACTAAAAGTGGGCTGGCTTTCCATGGAAGGACTGGGGCCAGGCTGGGGGAACCCAGTTTGTGCCTCAGCAGGCCCAGCTCTGTGACTGCAGTGGCCCAGCTGGCTCTGGCACACGCTGTGCCCGTGATTCCCAGGGCTCTGGGTGCAGCTCTGGCCAGCACAGCACCAGTGGGGGCTGAATGTGCCACGTGGAGTGCCCGTGCTTGCTCCAGAACGTTCCCTGACAGCTGCAAGGTCCAGGCTGGGCTGTGGCAGCGTGGTCCCTGCGTCAGCACTGCCCATGTGGGCACAGGGCTGGGCACGACCTTCCTGCTCTCACACAGCCCCTGCTGTCACCCCAGGGCACCCAGGGGCCACTGCAGCCTCACCCTGAGCCACGGCCTGAGCTGCCCTCTGCTCCCCTCCCCTGTCCCATGTGCTGCACCAGGCTGGGCTGGCTCCCAGGGGCACATCCACAGCCATGAGGGCTGCCCAAGCCCCTCTCAGCACGTTCTGCTCAGATCCACCCACTACAGTGAGGGCAAGGATACCCACGGTGCCCCCAGGGACTCTTTGGTGAGTGTTCCATGTCTGCAGCCGTGTGCCAGGGCTGGCACCGACCTCACCAAGCTTCTCGGTGTCCCCATGCCAGCCTGGCACGGTGGGGAGGGGCCCTGTGGGCTGCACATGCAGCTGGGGTGTGGAACCAAGGGTCCCCACACAGGGGGGCTGAGCAGGCTGGGCAGCAGCCAGGCCCAGAACTGATTAACACAGCTCAGAACAACTGTTAAACATTAACTGCCTTGTTTGCTCTATATTCCCTGGCAGGAACCTCCTGCCAGCACCAGGGTCCAGGAGCATCGCCAGGACAACCCACACAGCCATGCCAGGCACCGTGCCAGGCTCTGGGGCTGCCCCACAGCCCTGGGAGCCCCTCAGAGCTGAGCCAGGACCTTCCCTAACAGGGCTTCAGCCCTTCTGGGGTCCGGCCCCAGCCACAGGAGACAGAGCAGCAGCCAGGAGTTTGTTCAGGAAAAGCACCGAGTGCCCGTTTATTGGGAAGGGCACACACAGGGCAGTGCCCAGCCCGGGCTGGGCCCATCCAGAGGCTCAGCCTGGGCTCTCCAGCAGCCTCCCAGCGAGCCCAGGGCAGCACCTCCCTCAGCAGAGCCAGCCCTGATGCTGCAATGGCTGGGGAGGAGGTTTGGGGCATTCCACAGCAGCACCACACCACTCACTGCTGCCACTGTGGGCAAAACCTCAGCTGGAGCACAGCCCCAGGGGCAGCTGCAGCTTTGTGCTGTGGCCAGCACTGTCCCCTGTGTGCACCAGTGAGGGAAGGAGGTGGAAGCCCCATCCCAGAGGAGAGGAGTGGCTGTGGGAACCCCACAGTACACAAGGTGACATCCAGGGTGAAATAAAATCATTCCCAGGGGCTGCTTTTCAGGGGCTTTGGGTCCTCCTTTGCTGCAGTGCTGAAATGAGAGCTGAGCTTCTCCCAACACCTGACCCCGAGCACAGGACAGCCTGGGCAGGACGGGGCAGGTCCTGGTGTGGGACAGAGACCCCCTGAGTGCCCACCCAGCAGCCCCTGGCCCATCAGAGCCCACCCAGGGGCGGTGCCAGGCTGAGGTTGAGGAAGCCCCCAAAGTGGAAGGGGGGCAGGCGGGGGGCACAGGTGGCAGCAGAGGACAGGCAGGCGAGGGGATTGTCCCCACACGCCCCAGCCTCCTGCTCACTGCTGAAGTACACACTGTCAGCTGAATCCACCGAGGGGTCCTCGCTGAAGTAGTTGTAGGGCCTCAGGAAAAAGCCAACACTGTTCCCCACTGTCACTGTGTTGGGGACGTCTTCAGCATGAGGGACGTGCAGGAAGCCCACAGTGATCCAGGCCACCAAGTCCTGGGAGAAGAGGAACGAGGCATCTGTCAGGCTGAGCAGGACTCTGCCAGCCCAGCAGCTGCTCAGCCTGGCTCTGGGACAGGAGCAGCTTCTGTCCAGGATGGCCCCACAAGGTTCAGCTTCTCCCCACGCCAGGAAGCCCAGCTCACCTGGTTGGTGATGGTCTCGTTGTTGATGAAGTCAGCAAAGGCCACAGTGGGTGTCCAGGGGTCGTTCTGGTTGTAGATGCTGGTGCTGGTGGGCTCCTCCTCCTTCCTCCTGGTGACAGCCAGCTGGTACCTGCCAGCACAGGGCTCACAGGGGCTTGTCCACGCCAGCCACGGCATTGCCAGCTGGGAGGCACTGCCAAACTGGGGCTGGGCATCCCCAGTCTGCCCTGGGGTGGGGAGGGAAAGGGCCAAGAGGGCAGAAATGGGCAGCAGCCCCAGCATCTCCAAGCTTTGTGGGGGATCCCTTGCTGCCTGTGGCTTTTCCAGCATGGCTGGAACACAGATGGATCCAGGTGCCAATGCTGTCTCTCAATGCCCAGTGCACTCCCTTAAGCCACATCTGCTTCTCCCCCACACAGACATCCCCAGCATGAGCTCCATCAGCTCACCCTGGCACTGAGACTGCTCTGTGCTGATCCCAAGCATTTTCCAAAAGGCATTCTGTCCTCGTGGGAAGATACCACAACCTGGCAATGCCAGTGCTTCCCTTAGGAATTCCTTCTGCAGCCTACTTCCCCTCAAAGGCAAAAACACATGGGGTTGCTCTAAATTTGTCTGACGTGGGGTCAGACTCCTGCCTGTGACCTACCATGAGCAGATATTATTGAGCAACATCTCAAGGAAATTTCAGAGCCAAAAGCTATGCTTGTGTTTGCTTTAACCCTTTGTTTAACCCGTCCCTGCAGCCTGCTGCAGGCCTGCCCAGGGGTGAGAACCTCCCTCCACCGGGAGCAGAAGCTGCTGAGGCCTCAGCACCCACCTGCCCCAGCTGACAGAGCGCTCCATGGAGCTGTTGGTGGGCAGGTGCTTCCCAGCAAAGCTGATGACCTGGATCCTGTAGCTGCGTGGGTGCCCCCACTTGTTGGGATTGGGGCTGACAAAGGAGAGGTAGCGGGGCAGGGGGACATTGAGTGGGAATGCTGCCTCATCCTCCCTCTCCAGCCTTTCCCTGCGGAGGTGCGGCCGCTCAATGGTGCTCTGTGCGCTCCAGGGATCTTTGACAAACTCATACTCCATATCCTGGCTCTCCAGGGAGTTCAGCTGCCCTGTGAAGCAGAAGAGAAAACCCTCTCACAAGCTCTGCACGCCACAGAAGGCCACAGTAAACCACAGCCATGCACAAAGGTGGCCAGACCTACCATCAACGTCCAGGTCCACCTTGTAGTGGATATGGTGGATGTGCATCGTCCCCAGCGCGTGCGGCCCAACCCTGTTGCCATAGTCAGTGCCTCGGCCATGGAGGAAGGAGGAGCTGATGTAGCCCGTGGCGTGCACCCGGACCTCCACGGCGCCGGTGGCGTGGAACAGGAAATCCCAGATGTAATCGTAGTTGATGAGCGTGGAGATGGCGCGGATCACCAGCACGTTCTTCCGCAGCCCGCCGTAGTAGAAGGACTGTGAGTCGGAGAAGTGGCGCCTCAGAGGGAGGGCAGAGTCGTGCTCAAAAATGCAGAGGGAGTTTTGGTTGGTTTTGGGAGTGTCTGCCTCTGCCAGGTAGTGCCGGTCCACGTAGGTGGCTGTGTAGGGGCAGTCCAGGCCCCGCACCAGCTCGTAGGCGAACCGGCCGATGCCAAAGCTGCCGTCCAGGTAGCGGGTGGACATTCCCCCGGGAGAGTTGGAGCCGTACAGGGCCAAGGCTTCCTGCAGGCTCAGCTCATAGACAATCCTCTCCCCACGGTACCTGATGTTGAAGAGGCGTGGGCCAGTGTTGGGGTTCATGCCAAAGGCAAAGCTCCAGCCCTGGAAGGTGACGTGATTGTTCCTGACGCTGTAGCGGGGACCCTGCGGCTCAAACTGCAGCGGGCCCGGGGGCCCAGGAGGGCGCCGGGGCTTCATTGAGCCCAGCACTGCATCAGCCTGGGGCTGCTTCAGTCTGACCACCTCCAGTGCACCAACCACAAACTCCTGCTCCAGATCCCCCGTGCTGGCAAAGTAGCGGCCGTTGTAGAAGATTTTGCGCAGCTGCCACCGGGACACGTGCAGGTCCCCGTGGTCCACCAGCACCTCCAGCCCCACTGGGGACAGGTAGTAGCCAGTGCCAGCCACATTGTGGAAAAGAACAAACCAGGTCAGGCGGTCACCAGACTTGAATCCCCGTGGGGCCGTGGTGAGGGTGACCAGGTCGGTGCCGTTGGACTCGCAGCAGGCGGTGAGGAAGAGCGGTGCCTTCCTCAGCTCCCTGTGGATGAGGGCGTTGATCTCCGCGTACTCCCTGCCCGTGACGGCCCTGCGGTGGTAGGGCACCTTCCCCCCGTACTTGCGCACCGTCACGTCCCGGTGGTACGCCGGCCTGGGCAGCGGCCCCACCACCAGCTCGGTGATGTTGGGCTCTGGCTGCTTCCCAAAGTACAGCACAGCCAGAGCCTCCCGGGGGGGACGAGCCCCGCCTGAGTCCAGGAACCGCAGCACCTCTGCCTTGGCGGGCACCTGCACGTCCAGCCAGGCGATGCAGTTCTCCGAGGGCTCGGCGCGCGACGCCTCCACCAGCGGCACCCCCAGGTGGCCCTGCAGGTACCGCACCACCTGCGACATCTCCTCGGCCGTCAGGTCAGCAAACACCAGGCTCTGGCCATCCTCCGTCTCCTCCTGCTGCGGGGGCAGGTGCTGGCACGTCCTGGGGCTCCTTTCCCTGGTCAGCAGCACGCAGACCAAAGCGAAGATCGTGGCTAAGGCCAGACCAAGGAGGATGAGCACGGTTTTGAGGCTCATGCCTGCTGAGGCACTGAGTGCTCTCTCACAGTCTGGCAGGACACGTTTCCAGCTGTGGAATCCTCCCAGCCACTCACTAGAACAAGGGGCTGGGTTTATTTTCCTCCCCTGTTTCCTCAGCAGGGAACAGCCCCTGGAACTTGCAGGGGGGTGCAAGGGGATGTTCTCACACATTGCCAGGATTTGCTGGGAACCATAAAAGGCAACTATGCTCTGCTTCCCTAGAGGGCCATAATTTTAAGTAAACTCAACGTTTGTACATCTGTCCTTCCCCTCTGGTCCCAGACCCTACACTGCAGAGCTTGGGGAGGATGGATGCAGTTGTTTAGGGGAAATAAGCATATTCTCACTTCTGCTCTGTCTCTTAACCCCGCAGATACTGGGCAGGCTGTAGAGATAAATCGTCCCTGTGCAGAGCAGTGCTAAACACAGCACCCATCCTGGCACAGCCCTGCCATCACTGCTGCTGCCAACATCCCCATGGTCCTACAGCCAGGAGGGAGGGGACAGCTCTTTGTCACCTTGCAAAGGTGCCCACTGGTCCTGAGTTACAGCCTAGCACAGATGGGGCAGCAAGGAGGGGAACAGAGGCACCAGAGCCCAGCCAGCACCCTGGCAAACAGGCAGTGGCACTGGCCCTGCTGCATCACCAGCAGCCACCAAAGGTGAAATCATGAAAGCCATGAAACCCCTTCCTGCAAGGTCCTGTCCAGATCCCTCCCTTGTGCCCAGCACTGAGGGCCTGAGAGCCACAACCCACACAGTCTTGGCCATGACCCAACCTCCCCCCAGCAGCAGCCACAGGGCTTGGTGCCAGTGCCCACCTCCACCCCAGCTTGTCCCTCCTGCCTCCAGCTGGACACCCCTGTGCCCTGACAACACCCAGAGCCACGCTGGGGTGGTTTGTGGGCACAGGAAAGATGGCAGAGAGCAGCACCACTCCCCAGGAGATGCTGCTGTTTTAAGTTGTAAGAATGAGACACTCGAGAGCATTGGACCAGCACCATTTTCATTATTTTAACCTGAGATATGCACTACACAGCACTTGCTTCTACAGCAGAGGAACAGGATTCTCTCCTGACTCTCCTCTGGCAATAGACTCAAATTCAGGAGTTAACAGATAACATAGACTTCCATCTCACATCATACTAGGAAAATCATGTTTCCCTTTTCAAGAGCACTATTTCAAAAGCAATGATAAAACATGAAGTCACTGGACAACTGAAAATTGAGACAACTTCACTAAAAAGCTGAAAATTGGAGACAGAACAGTCAGCCTGGTGTCTCTGACCACATCTCCTCACCATCCTGAGGCATTAAAGCCTGCTCATATTTCGAAAACCATCAAAAGTGAATGGGGGGAAGTTTGGCAAACAAGAGGCAGTTTTGGGCAGGCAGGCAAGAGGGTTGATTTCACATGCTGTAAAGTCCTGCTCGCTGGTGAAAAACACACCATCCTGGGAGTATATAGAGGGGTCCAGGTCATAGTAGTTGTAGGGCCTCAGGAGAAAACCAACCGAGTTTCCCACGGTCACAGTGTTGGGAATATCCTCAGAGTGTGGAATGTGGAGGAAGCCAGCAGTTATCCAGGCAACCAGGTCCTAGGCAGGGAAGAGCCACAAGCCCAGGGTTACTTCAGGAGCTGCAGTGGCCAAAATACACGTGGGGCAGTGGGGAGTGACAGAAGAGAAGGAGGGGGACCCTGATGGGCAGCAGCCAGCTCCCACACACACACCCAGCTCCCCTCTCCTGGGAAAGAGCTCCCCCCTTCCCCAAAACCCACCACAGCCCTGGCTGCAGACATCCACCCAGTGGAAGGACCCTTGCTTTGACCTCCATGGCCTCACAGGGATTTTCATGATGTTTTGCCAGCATTTCTCCACAGGGAGAAAGAAGCTTCTGCTCTGCACACACTCTCTGTGTTCTCTGACCCAAGTACCAAGCAGACACACAGAGAAGGAGATGCTCAAACCCCCTTTCCTCTGGGCTGCTGCTCTCAAAGCTGGGCCCAGTGTCCCAGGGATGCTGCTGGAGCCTCTCTGCTCCTTGGGGCTCCCACTGAGCCTTGGCTGGGTGTCACATTCAGCCCAGGAAGCCCAGCTCACCTCGTTGGTGATGGTCTCGTTGTTGATGAAGTCAGCAAAGGCCACAGTGGGTGTCCAGGGGTCGTTCTGGTTGTAGATGCTGGTGCTGGTGGGCTCCTCCTCCTTCCTCCTGGTGACAGCCAGCTGGTACCTGAGGACAAGAAAAAAGAGGGGAGCAGCCCCCCGAGGCAGGGCAGAGCTAAATCAACTCCTGAAAGCCTGCAGAGCCCAGAAGAGTTCTTCCCTGTGCCTCCCATCCAGGGCCATCCAGCAATGCCTTCCCAGCTGGCAGGGCTGAGGGGGTCTCTGGGAACCTGCCCTGCCAGCCAGAGCAGCCTGACCTTGCCCAGCTGATGGCCCTCTCCATGGAGCTGGCCTCAGGGATGTGGTCCCCTGCAGAACTGGTGATCTGGATCCTGTAGCCACGCTGGTGGCCCCACTTGTTTTTGCTGTTGGCAGCAAAGTAGATGTATCTGGGCATCTTGGAGTGGAGCAGGAAGGCAGCCTGGTCTTCTGTGTCCAGGACTCTCCTGGTGAGTCGTGGCCTCTCTATCTGCTGCTCCGGGCTCCAGGGAGCCTGTGCCATCTCAAACACCATGTCATGGGCCATGAGGGAGTTTTTTACCCCTGTGAAGTCAAAACAAAGTCACTGAGGAGAGTCCCCACGGTGCCCTGCTCCCCAAGGACATCGCAGAGCCAGCTCTCCCTGCACCCTGGGCTCTGAGCAGCCCAGGAGCAGCTGCTGCTGCTCTGCAGTTCCCCATGCCAGGACAACACCCCAGGTGTGGATCTATGGCTGGACACTTGTCCAGGCTGGGCAGCACCACTGGGCAGCAGAGACAAGAGGGGACAAGGGATGAGCCTCACCCCAGGGCAGAAAAACAGGTTTGCCTCCCATTTTCTTCCCTGTTTGCCTCCACAGTCTAATTAACAAGAGCATGGCCTTTGTTAGTGCTCATCCTGCACAGTGGAGGCCCCTGCAGCAGCCTGGGTGCTGCACACATTTGCACATCACAGACAAGAGCAGTGTTGGGCTGCTCTCAGGCCCTGCCACAAAGAAGAGAAGTGGGCCCAAGGTTTGGAGCAACAGGAGCAAATCAACCTGGGGGTGAGGTGGCAAAAGGCTGCTGAGAGCATTTGATGGCCAGTGACTGTGCAGGTCTGGCAGAGGGGTTATTGCTCAGAACCTCCTGCCTGTCCCACCATGAAGCCCCTCTGTGTTCTGCTCATTTAACACGAGTTCTCAGCTTCCATAAAAACCATTTCAGAGCTGAACTTGTGGTCTGTGAAGGTCTGAGCCCTACAGAAGAAGATCCATGCACAGCTGAGCTCTTTTCCTTTTTCTCGCATGAACAAAACTTGTAAGCCCACACCTCCCCTGGCAGTATTAACAGTGACAGTCTGATTTCATCTGCCTTCTCCCTGTTCCTGCAGTTCTGCCACTCCCCCACTGCAAGCACCCCACCCTGCCCCACAAGTGGGAAGGAAAACCTGCATGACCACCAAAAAAGTAAAGTTCTTTGAGAAGTATTTAGAGAGACTACTTTTTCAAAAGGAGAGACAAGATCCAGACCTACCTGCCACATCCAAGTCCACCTTGTAGTTGACAAAATGGGTGTGTATTGTACCCAGGGTGTGCTCCCAAAGCCTATTGCCATATCTCAGGCCATCCCCATGGAGAAAGGACGAGCTTGGGTACCCTGTGGCCTGCACCTTGCCCTCCAGGGCCCCGTTCTGGTAGAAGATGAGGTCCCACACGTAGTCGTAGTTGTTCATGGTGCCGATGGAGCAAAGCACCAGAGTGGAGTTGACCACCTGAGGCTGAGCATCCCTGCACTTCCAGCACTCACTGGGAGCAGGGGGCTGCTCCTGGGCTCAGAAACCCTGTGCAGACATCCACTGCCAGACTGTGACTGCACAGGGGAGCAGGGGACCTCACTGGGTGGCTGCAGTGGCTGCACAACTCAGGATTGAGTATTCCCCCAAGAGAAGAAGGGAGGGATCTGCAGGAGCTCAGCCCCACGGAGCACCAGGACAAGCTGCCCTGCTTTACATGGGGCAGTGAGACACCAGGAGGGTTTTCCCAGGGGAGGAGGAGTGCCAGGAGCAGCAGCAGGCTCTGTGAAAGCAGGCTCACTGCGTCTGTGCTCAGACAGGGCCAACTCCCCGTCTGCCCGCCCGTGCCTATGGCAACACGCACCATGCCAGACGTGAGGCCTCAAGGAAACACAAACATTTTTCAGCTGCTACCTTTCATATTTTCCCTGAGCTGAACACAGAGCTCCCAGAAATTCCCACTGCTTTCCACCCAGTGACCTTGACAGACAGACTTTATATATTGAAAAATAATTTTGCAATGAAAGAAGAGGTTAGGAGAATAAAGAAGCAGAGTTCTGATGTCAGTTATTAGGGACTGTAAGGAACCTCAAAGCTCTGGGGCTTATCAGAACAACGGCAGACATTAAAAGAAGATCCAGACCTACCTGCCACATCCAAGTCCACCTTGTAGTTGACAAAATGGGTGTGTATTGTACCCAGGGTGTGCTCCCAAAGCCTATTGCCATATCTCAGGCCATCCCCATGGAGAAAGGACGAGCTTGGGTACCCCGTGGCCTGCACCTTGCCCTCCAGGGCCCCGTTCTGGTAGAAGATGAAGTCCCACACGTAGTCGTAGTTGCCCACGGTGGCGATGGAGCGCAGCACCAGAGCCGAGTTCACCAGCCCCCCGTAGTAGAGCGACTGCAAGTTGGAGTAGTGGCGCCTCAGAGGCGAGCCCAGGTTCTGCTCAAAGATGCAGAGCGAAGCCTTCCTCTTCTTGGGCCTCAGGCTGTCAGACAGAGAGAGCGTGTCCACAAAGGTGGCCAGGTAGGGGCAGTCCACCCCTGGCACCAGGGGCGAGGTGTAGCGCCCCAGGCCGAAGCTGCCGTCCATGTAGCGGGTGGACATCCCCGCCGGGCAGTTGGAGCCGTACACGGACAGCGCCTCCTGCACGCTGATCTCGTAGGCAACCCTCTCCCCCTTGTGTCGGATGTCAAACAGCCGCAGGCCCCTGCTCACGCTCATGCCAAAGGCAAAGCTCCAGCCCTGGAAGAGCACCTGGTTGTTCCTGACCCTGTAGCGGGGACCCTGCGGCTCGAACTGCAGCGGGAACGGTGCGGCCGCGGGCGCTCGAGGCTTCATGGAGGAGAAATCCCCGTCCCGCGGCGCCTTCCTCACCTTCTCCACGCTGATCCGACCCTGCACGTAGGCGCTCTCCAGCTGCACCATGTCCCTGTAGTACTGCCCGTTGTAGAACACCCTGCTCACCGCCCACTCCGACATGTCCAGGCTGCTGTGGTCCACCAGCACCTCCAGCCCCACGGGGTGCAGAAAGAATCCGCTCACGTTCTGAAACAGGACAAACCAGGTGACCCTGTCCCCAGACTGGAACCCACGGGGAGCAGCTGTCACGGCGGCAAGGTTGGCTCCATCGTACTCCATGACTTGCTGCATGAAAGCTGGAGCTGAGGGGAACACTTGGCTCTTCAGAAAGGCTCCAATCTGCTTGTACTCAACAGCCAGCGTGGGCCTGCGGTGGTAGGGCACCTTCCCGCCGTACTTGCGCACCGTCACGTCCCGGTGGTACGCCGGCCTGGGCAGCGGCCCCACCACCAGCTCGGTGATGTTGGGCTCTGGCTGCTTCCCAAAGTACAGCACAGCCAGAGCCTCCCGGGGGGGACGAGCCCCGCCTGAGTCCAGGAACCGCAGCACCTCCGCCTTGGCAGGCACCTGCACGTCCAGCCAGGCGATGCAGTTCTCCGAGGGCTCGGCGCGCGACGCCTCCACCAGCGGCACCCCCAGGTGGCCCTGCAGGTACCGCACCACCTGCGACATCTCCTCGGCCGTCAGGTCAGCAAACACCAGGCTCTGGCCATCCTCCGTCTCCTCCTGCTGCGGGGGCAGGTGCTGGCACGTCCTGGGGCTCCTTTCCCTGGTCAGCAGCACGCAGACCAAAGCGAAGATCGTGGCTAAGGCCAGACCAAGGAGGATGAGCACGGGTTTCAAGTTCATGCCTGCAGCTGGTCCAGCAGCATTCAGAGACTTTCAGAGCAGGCTCTCCAGCTCCTGCCTCTGTCAGTGTATGCTGCACTGGATGGATTAGCACAGAAAGTACAAAAGACTGGGAGAGGCTAGGGGAGGAGATCTGAAACCCTTGGTGACCAGAAAGGGCAGATCTCCTCTCAGCTGCAGCCTCTTTGGTCCTCCTTCACGGCAGTGCCCTGAAAGAACTTGTGGAGATGTAGGGTCAGTGACTCAGACAAGTTCCACATAATTCCGTTACTTTTTCGGTCCAGCCTGCTTTCCTGAGGCTGCCTGTAAAAACGGAGACTCTGCAGTCAGCCTGAGGTGGCTGTGACCACTGTGAGGCTCTGACAAGCTGGGAATTGTTGCCACACTGTACAATTTCACCTCTTTACAAGTCACCGATTTTCCTTGTTTATCAGGCTGCTTCCCTGTAAACATTCCCTCTGGCAACACCATTCCAAGCTTGGAGTTACTTTTTATTTAATTTTTTTCAGTCTTCCACATGGAAGCCTTTGCTGAAAACACATCCTCCTGTGTAGCAGGAGAAAAACTTTGGCAGGCATGGAGGTGTAGTTCAGGATGAGAATCAGGCACCAACATGCTGTGAACAACCAGCTCTTAGAACACCTCAGAACAGCTCTGAGCCAATTAATCCCCAGCACTGCACTGCCACAGGATCATCCAGCCTTTGCCTCTAATTCAGAAAAATTGAAGTGCAGCTTCCTAGAGGTTCCCTCAAGGAGAGAAGGACTCTGAACCTGGAAGCAGCTGAGGGCAGTGCCTGCTATCAGTGCCCAGGCTGGGCAGCCACATCCGCCCTGTGCCACCCCAAGAACATTCCCCAGCTGTGCTGCTCACAGCCCTGGCAGAGCAGGGCAGCCAGAAGGACCTGGTGCTCCCTCCTGCCACGCAGCAGATGCTCGGGGTAGACAAGACTCACCACCTTGGCTCCAGTCCCAGAGCTGGTGCTGAGCAGGACAAGGCATCCAAGAGAACCAAGGCTGGAGATTCAACCCAGTATTTCCACTCCTGCTGCCAGCCTCACCTCACCTCACCCTCGTCCTCTCTTCCTTGCATCAGTTTCCTGATGGGAGACAGCACCCACCAGCCCCTGGTTGTTCCTCTGCAGCAGATCCTGCCTGGCTCAGCCCCTCTGTGTCCCCTGTGCTCAGACACCAGGCTGGGAGGCAGAAGGGCCACGTTGCTGTGGGACACACTCCATTATCCTCACCACCACTGGCAGCCTGAGCCTTCCTCGGGGCAGGGACACACTCAGCCTGTCTGTGCCAGCACACAGGGCTCTGCCTCACCAGCCAGGAGAGCCTCAGAGCCTCAGCCCTGCTTCATGAGGCCACAGAGCCAGCAAAGGGGCTCACTGCAGCACAGACACAGCAATGGGCAGGGACAGCACAGGGAAAAACAGAGCTGTGGTGGATGGGACACAGCAGAAATGCCTGCTCTCACCAGCTCCCAGCAGCAGAATCAAATCCCTCTGAGTAACCCCAAACAAGGCAAAGCAGCACTGATTTCCTAGGCAGTCAGGTTTCAAGGATTACCTGAGGATAGGCTTGGAAGAAAAATTCCCTTTTGGTTTTGGCCTGGAACACGGTGCCCATTTCATTTGGAGCACAGAGCAGCAGCTCTGCTGTCCTGGGTCAGGTTTGGAGCACAGAGCAGCAGCTCTGCTGTCCTGGGTCAGGCTTAGAGCACAGAGCAGCAGCTCTGCTGTCATGGGTCAGGTCTGGAGCAGCAGCTCTCCTGTCATGGGTCAGGTTTAGAGCACAGAGCAGCAGCTCTCCTGTCATGGGTCAGGTCTGGAGCAGCAGCTCTGCTGTCCTGGGTCAGGTCTGGAGCACAGAGCAGCAGCTCTGCTGTCCTGGGTCAGGTTTGGAGCACAGAGCAGCAGCTCTGCTGTCCTGGGTCAGGTCTGGAGCAGCAGCTCTGCTGTCCTGGGTCAGGTTTAGAGCACAGAGCAGCAGCTCTCCTGTCCTGGGTCAGGTCTGGAGCAGCAGCTCTGCTGTCCTGGGTCAGGTTTAGAGCACAGAGCAGCAGCTCTGCTGTCATGGGTCAGGTCTGGAGCACAGAGCAGCAGCTCTGCTGTCCTGGGTCAGGTTTAGAGCACAGAGCAGCAGCTCTCCTGTCATGGGTCAGGTTGGAGCACAGAGCAGCAGCTCTGCTGTCCTGGGTCAGGTCTGGAGCAGCAGCTCTGCTGTCCTGGGTCAGGTCTGGAGCACAGAGCAGCAGCTCTGCTGTCCTGGGTCAGGTTTGGAGCAGCAGCTCTGCTGTCCTGGGTCAGGTCTGGAGCAGCAGCTCTGCTGTCCTGGGTCAGGTTTGGAGCACAGAGCAGCAGCTCTGCTGTCCTGGGTCAGGTCTGGAGCAGCAGCTCTGCTGTCCTGGGTCAGGTCTGGAGCACAGAGCAGCAGCTCTCCTGTCATGGGTCAGGTTTGGAGCACAGAGCAGCAGCTCTGCTGTCCTGGGTCAGGTCTGGAGCACAGCCAGGACATCCTGCTGCCTCCCAGGAACAGGACAAGTGTTCTGCTGCCACACACACCAGCAGAGCCAAGGTGAGACTGCAGCAGAACCCCCATGGCTGCAGGACAAAGCTCAGTGGACCTTTCCTTTGAGAAGCACACACAGAGAGATTGTTCAGGTTTGACTTCACCCCTTGGGTTTGCATCTGCAGCTCCTCAAAGCCATGGCTCAGGCTGCAATTACAGAAGGGCCCTTTCCAAGCAGCACAGCAGTAGTTTAGGAAAACTCCACAGGCCTTCCTGCCCCACAAATCACAACTCAACCCTGCAGCTGGGCTGAGAGAAATCCAGAAATAGACTGTGGGAACACTCCTGGTTCTCTCTGCATGTTGGGGGCTTGGAAAGAAAGAGAAACCCTAATCTGTACTGACATCCCCATGACAAAGCAACCACAGCACACACCCCAGGGCTGCTGGATAAGGATGGCAGCTTTCTGCTTTCTCCTGTGCCATGGAGGCCTTGTCTGATAACAGGGTTTTTAGTGCTGTCTGTTTCTGCTGGACTTTTCCAGCTCTGTTTCAGAATAAATCAAACAACCCTAAATCCACCTCCATTTTGCAGTAGGAATTTGAGGAGTAAGCAGAGTAATTAATGAAGTCTGCAGAGCCAGAACCTGTGTCAATAGCTGCCTGATGGGAAGCAATGAGGGATCTTGGGGGGCCGCACACACCATGGAATTGCTCTCCAAAAGGAGCCTGCAGCAGCTTAAAGCTAACCTAGAATTAAAGAAATTGCACGTCTCTGTAACTTGTAACTTGTTTATGACCTGCTCAGTGCACGTACTGCTGCCCACATGCCAGCCCCCAGTGTGACCAGCCCATCACTGACCCACATCCCATGGAGAACTCACTTCCTACCCGTGTTTTATCCGGGCTATTTTGGCTAAAACCCGTGTTTTATTTTGGCTACATGGCTGCTTTTAGGCACTGCCCATCTGATATTTGCTAAATTGCCCATATTCCCCAAACATAGCAAGGGAGATGGGAGTGCTGTTTTTCACGCACACAGAAAGGTAGAGGTGGCAAAAAATAGCATCTGAAATTTACTGAAACCCAAACCAGATGCAGACAGGTTTTGTCTTGGGGAAAGGGCACAGGAGGAAAACCCCAACACTCCTAAACACCAGCAAGGCTTGAGCAAGCCCCAAAGCAGAGCTCAGACTTTAGAAAGCTCCCACTCCCAATGCCTCACCTCAGGGGTCAGCTTATGCAAAGCACAACAGTGGGACCTGCCTGACCCTTCCTCCATTCCAGCTGTGCTGCTGGCAGGGCCTGTGGCTGCCCACAGCTGCTGAGCCATTGTTCTCCTCCCCTGCATTAAGCTGGGATGTCTCAAGGGCTGGTGAAGCAGAGAGCCCTGACTGCACACTGCAGCTGCTCCCACACAACAAACCCTCCCCTGCTCCCACAGATGAACCCCACTCCCTGCCAGCACCTGCCAAGACAATTGTCCTGGGTGCTCCATCCTCCCGTGGCACTGCTGGCTCCCTGGGAGCTCAGATTTTTTGACTGTGGTGAGGAGGAGCCCCTCAGGCAGCACCACACCAAGTCCTGCCAGCAAGTCCTTCTTCCTCTGGGCTCTGCTCCAGCTGCCTTGGCCCTGGGATGTGTGTGTGGCTCAGTGCCCCCTCCCTGCATGGGCCAGGCACCTGCAGGGCTTTCCCACACTACAGGAACCTCCCTGCACAAGGGGCTGCTCCTGTTCCTGGGCAGCTGGGGCTGCCACAGCCAGAGCCCCAGTCTGGAGCTGCTCCCAGGGCCTGTCACAGCCTCTGCTGGGCAGCAGCCCCAAACAGGCACCAAACCCTGCACCCTCTGCTGGCTCAGAGGGGCTGCAGCCCTGCAGGACATCAGGAAAGTTTTGAGTGCCCCTTGAGAGGCCTCTGTGCCCCAGCAGGCAGGCAGGGAAGGCAGGAACAGGATGATGCCCAGAAGACCAGAGGGCACTGTGGCTGGGGACAGCAGGGCAGCTGCCTCTGCTGGGTACCACACACAGGGAGCAGCCAGGAGCAAGAGATATGTGCCCCACAGAGACATCCAGGACAGCCAAGAGACACCTGCCCAAAGGACAGAGAAAGCCTGGAGCAACTGCAGGCTCAGAGAAACACCACACCTGTTTGAACTGGGACAGCCCAAGTCCCGCACTGGGCTGAGATGGGACAGATTCCATCAAACCCAAGCCCATGGGTAAAATCATGCCCAGTGTGAGGTATTGCTGATGGAACAGAAACAACCTGCACAGCAGATTAGTTTATAACAAAGAGGAATGAAAAGAATGAAGGGAAGGAGCAACTGAATGTGAGAAAGGCAGAACCAGAACTGGACACTGAAAGTGCATGGCCTAAGAGCCCAGCATCACACACAGGGGGCTGCCTTGAAAGAATTCCAAGTACCTCATTTTAATTTCTTGACATGGTAAAAGTTTACATAGGTTCATCTGGCAAAGAAAGCTGAACAAATTGAAAGGAATCAATACAAAGAAACACAAGGGGAAGTGCTGCTCCCAGACAGCAGCTCAACGCAGTTGGTTTGTTACTGAATATTTATTAGCGGGAAGACTAAGAGTTGACTTAACTACAAACAACAACAGAAGAGTCTATAGCAAGGGCCAGCAGCCCCCCACACTCTGGGCAAATCCCTGGGAAACCAGCAAGAGACAACATGGCTCTTAGATGTGGAAGCAGAGAAAAAAAAAAAAAGAAAAAAAAAAAAAACAAAACCTAAAAACAAAGTAAAAAAAATAAGGGAAGAAAGTTCATTCCATTTGTCACTGTTGTTACAATGAGATTAACACAACTCTTAAGGCTACTGCACAATAAGAATATACAGGTGTAACAGCGAGACCTGGGAAACAGCAAGGTTCCTGAAACAAATGATTTAACGTTCCCTGATTAAGGGACTTAAGTAGAAATACTATAAATAAGAAAATTTTGAAGCCTGCAGCGTTATGGGCCCACTTGCCACACACAAAAACCGACGCAGTACAACCAGTCATTCCCAAGGGGGTTTGTAATGGACCACGAAATGTTCTGGCAGCTTGGAGGAGTCATGAGGCACGGGAGTGTGCCCTTTGCAGGGGAAAGACTGCAAGGTCTGCAAGGTGTCAGGTGGGTATCAGCCACCCTCACCGTCAAGCACCAGCTGTGGCAGCCAGCCTGCTCTGCCCAGGCACCAGGAAGCGCTGCCAGGGACAGGGGGACTCAGTCTGATCACATGCAGAGAGATATTTTAGGACTTTAGCATCAGATCTCCAGCCCCTCCCTTCCCTCAGCCCAGGCAAAAGCAGCCCATGCTGAAGGGGCAACTGGGATGTATGTGAAGGAACATTGGTTTTAGCCAAGAAAGTGGCTCTAGTCAAATGGCAGAAGCCACCTGAGCTCATGACAGCCAGGACAGCACCAGCTCTAGTTCCAAGCATTTGCCTCATGCTCTGCACTGATCCAGACAGGAGTGGTGAGGCAGAGCCCTGTGGGGCAGGCTGAAAGGGAGTGCAGATGGCTCAGTGGCACCAGAGCACAGCTGCCAAGGGGCAGGGTCCCTGGTCAGTGCAGAGCTGGTGGCAGAGGGGCCTGGCCACAGCCAGCAGTGGGGACAGAGCTTCCCTGCTGTGGCACTGCCAGGCTGCCCTTGTGCTGGGCTGTCTGCCCTGCTCCAGAGACCCCAGTGCAGCCACCAGACAAGAGATGGGACAGGACAAGGGCTTGGTCTATAGTGTTGTTCCCACTCAGGTAGGAAGCAAGGCATGAAGGAATGTCCCTGCCTGGCTGCAGCAGCCTCTGGGGCGGCCAATGCAGCATGGCCTCTACTACCAGTGACTAGAGGAAGAGGGAGAGCTCCTGAGACCTGAACAAAACCAATCACAAAACTAGGCAAGAATTTCTTTAGAGTTTAACTAAGAATGCAATACTATTTCCAGCCAGTTTCCCATCTCGATAGTCACGTAACAAACCAAGGCAATGACGGTCTTTAGTTGACTGAACAGTTCTCAAGTTCAAACGTTGACACTTAATAGAGGGTCTCAGCATTGCTGCTCCGAGGCCTCTTGATCTTCTCGATGTTTTTAAGGATCATGTCATGCAAAGTGACCTGCAAAAAGGAAGAACAGGACTCAGACAGGAAGCCAGCCATCCAGCTTGCACCATAAGCACTGGTTACCACAGCAGCACCACCCTCAACCCTTGTGTGCAACCACACCCCTGGTTAAGGTAAGGCCTTCCTTCAGCCAGACCTTACAGAAGCCAGTATACAGAATACCAAAAACATTCATTCAGAAACCCTAGGATTGCCTTGAACTGTATGAAGAGCTGAGGATCAGATTCTCACAGAGGGGGCACAAATATTTTGCACTATGGCCCTGTGAGCACTGCTGGAAACATCTGCATTTCTGAGAGATGGTGGAGAAACACTTCACTGGAGGCAGAGTGGGAAGCAGGCAGGCTCAGGGGGAAAGGGGAGAGGAGCAGCAGCAGGAGCACAGTGTGACTGTGTGCTTTCACTCACATATTGATTTCTCAGCTCTGAAATGATGAGGCGCAGACTAATGTACTCCTTCTCGTCGATCTCCGTCACGGTGCGGCGATAATCCTCCTGTGGGGCACACAGAGCTCAGCCCAGGCTCCCACAAAGCACCCCAGCCTCAGCTCAATCCTCACAGGATCCCCTCCTCTTCCCCCAGCACCCTCAGCTCAGACAGGACAGTCACAAAGCAGCTCAGAGTCCCAGCACCAACATGGAAATCTGCACGTCCCCGCTGACTTACCACATGAGGGTACTTGGCTATTTTGGAAACCAACTTTGCTCTTGTGATATAGTATCTGGCAGGGAAAGAGAGAGATTAAAGCTCAGATAAATAACCAGGATTATATTCAGGTCCAAGCTGCCCTCTAACAACAGCTGGAGAACCCTTCCCAAAAACATTATTCTTCTAAGGAGATCCCAAAAAAGATCCCAATAAAGCTATTTTGGAAACCAGCTTTGCTCTTGTGATAGAGTATCTGGCAGGGAAAGAGAGAGATTAAAGCTCAGATAAACAGCACCAGGATTATTTTCAGGTCCAAGCTGCCTTGCACAACAGCTGGAGGACCTTTCCCAAAAACATTCCTCTTCCAAGGAGATGCCAAAACAGAAGTCTGCTCTTGCATGCCCACCTAGAAATCTGGTCCAGGTAAGATGCTGCCTCACTCTCCACAGTCCGAAGCTCAGCAACTGTTTCTTCCTGCAGGGGAGACAAGGAAAGTTACCTCCAGTAGGCTGCAGCTGGCCTTCAGGGCTCAGGAAGCACTGTCTCAGCAGCACCACATCAAGTGCAGGTTTGGGTTTTGAAATCTAAGCCAATCCCATGACTGCAGCTGCTGGATATCATGAACTGAAGGATTCAGAGGAAGCCCAGAGATCCAAGCCCTTGGAGAACACAGCAGTGCCTTACCTGAATAGAAACACCAAAGTTGTTCCCATCCTCTATCCTGGGAATGAGAAGCTGCACCCACATTTTGACCTGCAGTGGAGAGATCACAGCACTGACCAATGCCAACATCTGCACAAAGATTTCTCTCAGGAACGTCAGCAAAAGCTCCCAGGACCCTGACTTTGCAACAGAGCTCATGATCAACTGCTGCAGGTCCCTTATGCCCCTCTAACACTTCCAAGATCATTTCCCACATGGCTGGGATGCCATGCAAGCCAGCACAGGCCCAGCTTCCCATGGAAAGCTCTCCTCACCATGCCACAGGAGCTCCTGGCAGGAGTCTGTGCCAGGGCAAAAGAAGGGCAAGGCAAAGCCTCATGAGGCTGATAACAGACATCCTTCTCCTTCAGGTGAACCACAGAGCTCCCCAAGGGTTTCAGCTGCCAGACAGGACAAAGCCCTGCCTTTCCTCATCTGCAGCACAGAGGGACCTGCTCCTCCCACAGCTCCACCTCTGCAGGAGTAAAACCACCCCTCTGCCTCCCCCTGCTCCAGGCTCACCGTATTGCACTTCTCAATGAGCAGCCTGATCTCTGGTTTCACTTTCTCAATGATGTCCACCAGCTGCTGGTTGCTCTTCAGCATCCCATTGGGCATCACAAACACTTTGGTACCTGTGGCAGAGACAAACCCTCAGGGTCAGGGATTCACAGCAGCAGCTGCACTAGGGCTGGACCAAGGGGCCTCACTCAGCTCCCACCAAGGCCAGAAAGGGGCTGAGCCAGGCTGGGGCCACCTGCAGGGAAGGGGAAAGGGAAATGGGACAAGCAGTGACCACAAGGGGAGGAAAGGAGAGAACACAGAGCAGGATGAGCCTGAAGAGCTCGAGGATGCTGAGCACAAAGGGTTTTCCTGGTGCACAAGAAGTTTCTGTCTCAGCTTAATGCAAAGCCTGGAATGTTCTTCCAGACAAAGAGAGGAACTGCACAGAGCCACCAGGAGATCAGCTGCCTCTGTCAGCAGGCCAGGATCCAGCCAAGCACTACTTATGTCTATCAGAGAAGTACTAATTATGCTTCTAAGAGCTGGAACCTGACTCCTCCACATCAAAACATCTGTAGGTCAGGCTGTGGCCTGCATGAGCAGCAGCTGCTGTCAGGGCAGGGCAAGTGGGGCTTGCACAATTTGCATCTCCAAGGCTCAGTGCAGCAGTTCAGGGGGCAGGCAGCAATACAAGGGACTTGGGGAGTCTTACCCTGAAAGGTCTCTTCGTGGTCTTCCAGCTTCCTCTTTTTCATATTTGGCTAAAATATACAAAATGTTTCAGTCACAAACTAGTTGTAAGCTGTAGAAATATTGTAAAGGAAAAAAAAATAAAAAGGAAAACTTAGAGCCCTGGTTTCTGAGCACTCTTCCTTAAATCCTAGGAAGAGCTGCAGAGCAGTGTTAGCTCCAGGCTTGAGAGATCAATCTCTAACAGCCCCTGAGCCAAGGCCTGGTGTTAAATAAGAATATCCCACCCCAGCAGAGAGCAAACCATGCAGTTTGAACAGGAGCTGGGATCACAGCCAGGAGAGAAACCTTACCCCATCCAGTCCATCATGGCTGTTGGTGAGAAGAATTGGGTCAGGCACTGGGAGGTTCATGTCCGAATGGATCTGAGTCAGATCATGAATATTCAGGATGGGTTCCTGCAAAATAAAGCAGATTTGTTACTTGATCACGAGCTAACAAATTCTGCCACAACAAACACAACAAGAGAAAAGATTCAGGCCTCCTTTTTGTCCAAAATTAGCATGAATGAAGATAAAAAGCCTGGAAATAGACTGTAGACCCCCTACCCATGAGTCCAGGCCATGATGTCCCTGTGAGAGCCCAACACTGCCAGGGACAGCCCAGTGGGGAGAAAAATAAATGTGAGAGATCACAGAAAGCAAACTGCACAAGACAGCACCCCTCCAGAGCCAAGAGCACTGCAGCTGCTGCCTTGTGTCCCTGCACCAAGGTGAGATGCTCAGAAAACAGCCCTGGAGAGACCTGCCACAGCACTTTCAAAATGTAGCTGCAAGTGGGAAAGGATACAAGGCACACCCTACCTTAAGGAATCCATCGAGTTCTAACAGCTTCTTTGGAAAAAAGTTTGCTACGAGGTCTTCAGCCTAAGAGAGAAAGAAAGAACAAACAGTGATGTGCAAGAAGGCCACGTGGCTCCCACCAGCAGGCAAGAACAGCAGGGAAATCATCTGTGCACAAGCAGGAAACAAAGAGAACCCAGTGCTTCCTGCTGCCAACACCAAACAAAGCCCAGGTGAGAAGAAAGCCACGGGGTTCAGGAGGCTCACAGCAGTGAGGAGGGCATCAGTTGGGTGCTGCTGAGCTTCCAGGGCAGGCCCAACCCACGGCTGAGTGTGTCAGAAAGATAAGGCCAAAAAAACCCATTCCTGCTCGGCCCGTGGCACTCACCTCACTCGTGATCCGCTCCCTGAAGGAGTCAACCTACAGAACGAAACAGGGACACGTCAGGGTGGCTCTGAACAGCCGGGGAGGCCGCGCTGAGCCCCGCACGACCCTCCCGGCTCAGCTCCCGCTCTCCCGGGGGACCGGGAGGAGCCCGCTAACACCGAGCGGGGGCTGCCCGGAGCGGCTCCGTCCGCCCGCCCCGACCCCGGGCGCTGCGGGGAGCTGGAAACCGGGAGGGAAGATCCTCCGATCCTCCGGGCCGCCCCCCGGGGCACACGGGCCCGGCTCGGGGGCGGCCGCAGCCCAGCCCCGGCCGCATCCCCGCCCCCCGGCGCTGCAGGGCCGGGCGGGGGTGGAGACACCGGGGTCCCGTCGGGGCGGGCGGGCCGCGCTCGGCGGCCGGGTTGGAACGGCCGGGAGGCACCGTGGGGCGGCCCCAAGCCCGCCCCGCCCCGGGCCGGCGCCAGCAGAGCTCGGTGCGGGCCGGCGGAGCGGAGGCGGCCGCCGAGAGGGGCCGGAGCGGGGCCGGGCGAGGCCAGGCGGGGCGGGGCGAGCGGCGGGGCCGGGCGCACCTTGAGCTTCACCTCCGGGTCCACCTTGAGCAGCGAGGCCATGGCGGGTCCGGTCTCGGGGCCGCTCCGCTTCCCCGGGGCCCACACCGGAAATGACCTCACGCCGCGCGCCCGCCAATGCCGCGCGCGCCCGCCGCCCGCGTGACCGGCCCCCACCGCGCGCGCGCGCGCACGCGCCGCCGGCTCCCGGCCGCTCCAGCGCCGCCCGGGGCGGGGACACCGAAAATGGCGGCGCCGGGACCGCGCCCCCGCCTGCGTCACGTCCGGCGCGCGGCGATGGCGGGGCGCGCGCGGGCGGCGCGATGGAGGCAGCGCGGGCGGGCGGCACCGGCACCGGCGGCACGGCGCACGTCAGCTTCGTGTGCCAGCGCTGCTGCCAGCCGCTCAAGCTCGACACCTCCTTCAAGGTGCTCGACCGCCTCACCATCCAGGAGCTCACCGGTACCGGGCGCCGTGGGGTTGGGTGGGCGGCCGGGGCTCGGGCCTAGGCCCGGGCCTGGCTGACGCCGTCTCTCCCACAGCCCCGCTGGTGAGCGCTGCCCCGGCCAGGCCCGGGGACCTGCACGAAGAGGAGAGCGCCCTCACGGAGGTACGGCGGGTCCGGCGGCGGGGCTCGGCGGCAGCAGCTCCCCCGGGCCTGCCGGTAACGGTGTTTCCTTATCTCCAGGAAGCTTTCGTGGAGAACCGGCAGGATGGCGTGTCCAGGAGGTTCATCCCGCCTGCCAGGTACAGCTACAGTCCCGCCAGGCCCGGCCCAGCTGGGAGCTTGTCCTCTCCTCCCAGCTTGAGCCTGTGCTGGGGCAGCGCCTCAGAAATGTCACCCCATGCGGCTGGATCACACTGAATAGCTCGTGTGAGCCCCCAGAGCTTCCCCTGCGGGATCCCCGTGGCCCTCGGGCTCCTTTTCACACAGAACTGCACAGTCCTTGGGGCACTGTGGGTCAGCAAACCTGACAGAGCCCCCCAAACACGGGTTTCCCCAGCCTCCTGCTCTCCCTTTTTCCCTGAGTCATCCCCAGATTGTGGTCTGGCGCTGGAGCTGCCTCCCCTCAGCACTTAGCACTCATGTCAGTAATGTTCTTTTCAAGAATGATGTCAACAGAAAGTGCCAACAGTTTCACGCTGATCGGAGAGGCCTCGGATGGTGGCACCATGGAAAACCTCAGCAGGAGACTGAAGGCAAGTGGGTCATGAGCTGGCAAACTCAGATCCTTTGGAACAGAGCTTCAGTTTTTCCTGATGCTCTGCAAAACTAAACTGCCAAGTTTCCCATAGCATTTACCAGCCTTACAGAGGCTTGGTTGGTGAGTAGTTGAGCAGAGATAGATTCTTTTAATCAATATTTGGCCTGCAGAGAAGATTCCTGCTAACTGAAGCTGCTGAGAAGCAGCAGGCAGCTGCCTGTGGTTTCACTTGCACTGATGTGAGCCCTTCCTCCAGGTCACTGGCGACCTCTTTGACATCATGTCTGGGCAGACAGATGTGGATCACCCACTGTGTGAGGAATGCACAGACACTCTGCTGGACCAGCTGGACACACAGCTCAACATCACAGAGAACGAGTGCCAGAACTACAAGTGAGTGATGCAGAGATGACAGAGCTGCTGTGGCTTGAGGCACAATCAGTGTGGATGATTTATTAAAAAATATGGATGTTGATCTAGTACTGATATCCAACTGTGATGGACAAAAACTCTCTAACAGTTTAGAGTTAGAAAATAGCTCCCAAATACACACCACAATTTACAGGTGATAACAGAGTCCTTTTATCTATACAAGTATTGAATACCCAAAGTACAAATGCATATTCATAACTTGGGTACATCCCACTCCCCACTTCATATGGTAATTAGTTCAAAAGCTATTAAGCATACAGAGTTTGTTCCTTGGAATGGGTCGGGGGTCCCAAAATGAGGAAGTAAATGAAGTCTTCCTCGTTCTGACCTTTCTACCTTTTCAATGCAAATATGACAATTGAACCCTTGGTAGAACTCCCATACCCTGTCCTCAATTGGTTTCAGAACAGAGGAGGTCACAATTGTCTTATGTTCCCAAAAGCCATTTATCAGTTTCTATATTCTTCATTATGAACCCAGCTAACCAAACATTGTGTTGCCAAGCAATCAGTTATTAGTTAACTACTAACACTTAACTTCATCACGGCCTACCCATTTATTTTAATTAACTCCAATAAAGCTTATCTTTAACTAAAATCTTAACTCCTCTAAAATCTCTAAATTCCTTAAAGTTTATGTCTCATGGAGAGCTCAGGATTGACAAGAGCTGCAGGGGCTGCCAGTGCAGGACTTCCCAGGATACCTGTTCTGGCAATCCTGTTGTTCTCCTCTAGGAGATGCCTGGAGATACTGGAGCAGATGAATGAGGATGATAAAGAGAAGCTGCAGACAGAGCTGAAGGAGCTGGCACTGGAGGAAGAGCGGCTGATCCAGGAGCTGGAGGATGTGGAGAAGAACCGCAAGATTGTGGCTGAGGACTTTGAGAAAGTCAGGGCAGAGGCAGAGCGGCTGGAGCAGGAGGAGGCTCAGTGAGTGGCAGGGCTTGGAGGCAAAAAATAAATGAGAAACATGGAAATGGTGACATGAGAAACCTGTAATTGTGCCCAAATGCCAGTGGCTCGCTCTGTGCAGAAGGAAAGTGAGACCAAACTGGCCTGCAGAGCTGTCACTCTGAGGTAGAAGCCAGCACTCAGCACTTCTTGTCTTGTTTGTGCTCAAAGGTACCAGAAGGAATACTGTGAGTTCAAGAGGCAGCAGCTGGAGCTGGATGATGAGCTGAAAAGTGTGGACAACCAAATGCGCTATGCCCAGATGCAGCTGGATAAACTAAAGAAAACCAACGTGTTCAATGCTACCTTTCACATCTGGTAATGTGGACATGGGCACATTATATCCATTTTCTTGGAATCTGCAGTGTGAAGGTTTTTAAGTCACTGCATTTGATAGGAAAGGTACAAGCCAGCTCACAGTTACCTCCCAGCAAGGCAATGAGTGCCACCTGTCAGGAGTGGCAGCCAGGCTGTGGGACTGGGAAATGGCTCCTTCACCAGTCCCAGAAACACTTTGGGAACCCTGTGCCATCCAGCAGTGACACTGGCATTAGGGTTCACAGAGCAGGCAGCTTGGAGGGGCTGGCTGGGGGATTTTGTTGTGTTTTTATGAAAAAGAGACAAGTGTTTGGTGTTTACATACACTTGTTAAGAATAGCCCCAAACCTTGTGCTTGGCTGGCACTGTGTGTGCTGTGCTCTTGGGACACAGCCCCTATTTGGTTATCAGGCCATGAGCTTTTCCCAGCCTAGCACATTTATTTATAATTCTTCTTATCACAGGCACAGTGGGCAGTTTGGCACAATAAATAACTTCAGGCTTGGCCGCCTCCCCAGCGTTCCTGTGGAGTGGAACGAGATCAACGCTGCCTGGGGGCAGACTGTGCTGCTGCTGCATGCCCTGGCCAACAAAATGGGCCTGAAGTTTCAGAGGTACCTGCAAATACCACACACAGGTCATTTATGACCCAGAGGAAGGCAGGCAGACTCAGGTGCCTGTGAATTCTGTCTCCTTTTTTTCAGATACCGCCTTGTCCCCTACGGTAACCATTCCTATTTGGAGTCCCTCACAGACAAATCCAAGGTAAGGGATCCCGTACAAACCATGGGACATTGATTTTGAGCCCTGGTCAAGATCAGGGATGCAGGAAACAAAGCTTGGTCTCTGTGGATTTGGAGTCCAGGAAAGCTGTGGCTGCCCCAGCTCCTCCAGCATGGTGACATCTCACATCCTTCATGAAGCCACTGGTGCTGCCAGCCAGCAGTGTTAAAACTGACAGAACTGTTGAATAGGCAGAGGCATGTTTTGGGGTGATTGGCAGGCAAATGGCATGATTTGGGGTTGGTAGAAGTCAGGAAAATATACCTGCACATGGTAGGCACTTGCACAAAACCAAGTCACACCTGCCCTGTGCCACAAGCCATTTCTCAGCATCCCATGACAAATGTAAGCCTCACATGAGGTTAAAAAGCTGCAGTGACCCTATCAAAAACAAGTGCTTGGTGTTCCTGATACAAATCTCTTTTCCAGGAGCTTCCCCTGTACTGCTCTGGAGGCTTGAGGTTCTTCTGGGACAATAAGTTTGATCACGCCATGGTGGCATTCCTGGACTGTGTGCAGCAGTTCAAAGAGGAGGTGGAGAAAGGTGAAACTCGGTTTTGTTTGCCTTACAGGTGAGTGTTGCCACAAAACTGTCAAACTCAGCCCTGTGTGCTCTTCCTAGCATTGTTTCAGCCCTGATTTTTCAGAAATCATCTGCAATTCTTTATGATGTGTTTGATAGTTTCATTGAAACTTCAAGCCAGCCCCTTGGGTGGAGTCCCGAGGCTTGCTCAAATCCCTTTAAAAACAGGATAGTGTTACTGTCAGCTTTAATATGTAGCACTTGGTGTCATTCTGAGGCTCAATGCTTGCAGTGGGAATACACTAATTAAAGCTTGTGTGTGATACAGGATGGACGTGGAGAAAGGAAAGATCGAAGACACAGGTGGCAGTGGTGGCTCTTACTCAATTAAAACACAATTTAACTCTGAAGAGCAGTGGACAAAAGCACTAAAATTCATGTTAACTAACCTGAAATGGGGCCTGGCCTGGGTTTCATCCCAATTCTACAACAAGTAACTGATCAGAACTTGGCCTGGCAGCCATGGAGTGTCTGCATTGTGTTGGAGAAAGGCAAATGAAGATGTCTCTTAATATTAACCAGTACAAAATGTTTACAATACCAAAAATCCACAAGACACTTTATTTACAATGCCATTATTACAAGTAGTTTGTAGAAAAGCAATATGCAAAATTGTATCCTTGAGTTGAACAGAATAAAACCCAGCTATTAAAAGGATTCTAAACTGTTATCTTTGGGGTTTATGGCCATGCACATAAATCATTGTCAAATGAGCATCAGTTTGATGCTGCTCTGTTACAGCTAATGCAAGGTTGGAAAAGCAGGACATTACAAACACAGGGAATAATGTGGGAAAACTGCCAGAACTCTTCCTGGTCATTAAAGAGTTTAAAATAAAGTATTTTCTAAGTCATATCAGCACTTCTTTGTGCTACTGCACTTAGAAAGGTCTGATACCATTACAGCACTGTAATCCCTCCTGCAGGCTGTTCCTGCACAGGGCAGTGCTGAGGAAACAATGAAATTATTCCAGGTGTTTCCAGCCAGCAGTGCCTGGCACAGCACAGACCCTTGGCATTGGCAGGGACAGCCAGGCTGGGCACTGCTGTGGTGACAGTCACAGTGCTGGCACAGAGGGGACAATGCCAGGCAGCTGGGACAGGGGTTTTACAAAAGCAGCAGGAGGAGACAGCAGCCCCATTTGTGAGAGCTGGTCCCACCAGCCATGGCAGCACCTTTCAAACACAGCCACTCTGAGGGATCTCTGATTAAAGGGAGCTTAGATTCAAAACTTAAAAGATGCAGCTTTTACAATAAAGCTTTTAGGGCATTTCTAAACACTGTGGTGCTGTTGAGCCTCCTTCCAGAGCATGACTGTGATGCCCAGCAGGACGAGCTTTGCTAATGAACACATGACAGAATTCAGGTAACCCTGAGCTGTGCTGGGCAGTGACACAGAGCAGGGACAGTTGTCAGCAGTGTGACAGCTCCTGCTGCTGGGCCAGTGACTGGATGGACAGGATGGTTCTATTTCTGAAGAGGAATTCTGTCCTGAGATTTGGTGGCACGGTGCTGCTTGGGGGTGGTGCTGCCAACGATGCGCCTCACCACGGCGTAGGAGAACTCCAGGATGCTCTGGGGAGTGATGCCAGTGATGCAGTTTAAATGCTCCACAGCCTGGAAAAAAAGAAAAGATCACCTAAATCTGTGAGTTTACAGACTGACAAGAGTAACTGCTCCACCTGCCTGTGGGGTTTTGTTCTGGCTGTGAAGCACTAAAGGTGAGGACACTTGTAGGAATGTGCCCCCTGTTGAAGGAGTGACAAAATTATTCCTTGTCTGCTTAAAAAGGCAAAAAGCCCAGAAGTTTCTCTCCCAATTTGGTACAAAAGACACCTCATAAAACCTTTGGGACTTCACCTCAGACCTGGGGCTGTCCAACTGGATGGAGGCCAACAGGGCCAGCCTAGGTAATTCACTAGGAAAGGAAGAGAACAAAGGAAATAATTGCTTTTGTGGGGTGTTTTAGCAGGAGCAAGAACCTCTTCCCCCTAACTCAGTTTTTGTCTTTAAGAGTTTTGTTATTTTGCCTTTTATTAAACCTTTTTCCAACACTACCTCAAAAGCCACCCTGCTAATTTGACACCATTCAAAGTAGCTAAACTATCTGAAGTGTAACGAGTTTCTCTAAGAGCTCATAAAACCTAACTCAAAAAGCAACACATCAAACACCAGTGCCAGCACACAGCTCTGACAGAAACCCACCAAATGCTTTGTGCTAAAAGACAGAGGTGTCCCCTCCCAGTGCAGCCCCAGTTGCTGTGCTGGAACCACCACAGATAAACCACCTTGGCACTGTGTTTTGCTGTGCTGGAACCACCACAGATAAACCACCTTGGCACCGTGTTCCTGTGGAGCCAACGCCTTCAGCAGTGACTGTACCTGCTCCCAGCGCCCGGGGCTCAGGATGAACACACCTGTACTGATGACTCCAACAGCCAGGAGCATGAAATCTTCCTTCACTGTTAAAAACTTGGCTCTGAAGGAAGAAAAGTGTGTTCAGGTGTAAAACGTTGCTTCACAGTTCAAAAGCACCTGCTGTTGCAGCTGCCAGTGCCCAGGACATGTTGGTTTATTTAGGCCAGCCTGAATAAACCACTGGAACTGACAGTGCAAGGCTGGATTTTAACCAAATGAAACATTTTCCTTGCCCTTGAAGCAGGTGTGGAAAAGCATGTTGCTTTGAACTGGTGTATTTAGAAACAATGATGAATGTCCCCACAAATGATTTTTTTAAATGGCACAATGAGAAATGCCCCAAAATGGCATAAATAGCAGCATATGCTATGCCCTAAAATAGCATACCTAGCAGCATATCCTGCTATTTATTAGCTTTTTCAAGGGTTTTCATTTCAAAGGGTTATTTTAAGTCATTGTCAGGTCTTACATCTGCAGTTTGCTTGGTGTGGAGTTCTCAATGGCAATCTTCAGCAGGGTGTCATAGATGGTCTCTCTGGTCAGGTAGCAGAGGTCCAGCAGCTGCACACACAGCTGGTGTAAGGGTTTGGCAGGAAGCAAGCAGCCATTGTATCCTGGCAGAGATCACACCATCAGGGCCACGTTTTGGGTCACTACGTTGAGTCTTAGGTACCATAAGGGAGAGGGAATTCTGAGGACAACTGCCCCTGTCTCTGAGTGCCACAGGATCCCTCAGCCTCAATGTAATTTCACTCTGAAATTCAGGCTGGCAGAACTGGGCTGTGGTGGTACCAGGTCTTGGTTTCTCTGGGTCAGGACTGAAGGCACTTGAGACAGTAATTCATGTTCAGACTCAGGTGTTTATTATTTCTGATCAGTAAAACAGTCTCACCACTGTGAGTTCTGCAGTCTTTCATCAGAAGGCACAAAATGGCCAACAATCTCTTGTTCCAAGGTCTTTTAAGGCTAAACTATCCAATTAAGAGCTGACACCTCGATTATTTTCCCTTTTAACCCAATAACTGATCCCAATGTGGACTTTTCTGCCCAATTACAAAATGCCACCCAAACCCATGAAGAAGAAGGAAGAAGCAGCATGAAGAAGAAACCCAGGATGACACCCTGTGCCCTCCATCTTGCTTCCATCCACAGCACACTAAAAATCCCAAAACCTCAATTTCTCACCAAGTGATACACCTGCACTGCTCTCTATAATCTGTTTCACACTTTTGTGGATTCCAGTCTATCTTGAAGTCTGGGAAACTTTCTCCATGGATGAGGGTCAAAGTCAGTGCTGCCCTGAGGGTCAGGACACCCCAGAGCAGAAAGAGAAATATTCCCAGTGCCCTGGGTTTCCACACTGGGCCAAGAAAATGGTGAGTGATTGTAGAAAATGTGGCCTGGCACCACATTTGGGGGCTTTAAACTCTTAATATTTTACTGAATGGGTCATGCATGGCTGGCTGTCCAACAACATTCTACAAAGGAAAAAGTTCTCATCTAAAAAGTGAAGCTCTGGACAATCTGAACAGTTCCACGTGCAAAAAATCTGTAATATGAGACATTTCAGAGCAGCAACAGCTCTATGACCCTACTAAAAAACTTCTTTCCCATTCTCCCGTTCTCTCACCTAGAACCTCCAGGAGCAATTCCACATAGGCCAAGGGGGTTGACACATTGATGTGGAAGTGCAGAGTGTTTAAAACAGCAAGCTCTGACTCCAGCAATTCCTGTTTAGTGTAGGAATATTTTATGGATTGCAGAAATGTTAAAGCTGTGTCACTGGTCACTCTCTGAAGAAGAAAAAGAGACAAAATGTCTTCCAGGCAGTAAGGCAGGAACAAAGTGCTGTCACCTCTCTGCTCCTGCTGAGCACCAGTCTGAGCTGGCATGGGAAATCCAGCTCTGACCTTCCCCACAGGTTTCAACTCAACAAACCATCCCCAGGCAGGTGTGGACACACAATTTTTGACAACCACAGGGCTGAGGTTTTCCTGCTTTTCCCCCCCTCCCACCCCAGAACTGGGAACACTTCCCAGCAAATTGTTACTGGGTGAGCAGCAATTCACCTACCCTAAAGGGAATGTGGTGTCCTTGGCATCTCATTATCACTACTGACTTCCAAAAAGGAAATCTATTTTTAAGAGAGATTGATACACTGCAGATTTAACCATGGTCCCAAAGCAAGGACAGGCTGAGCTGGCTTACACTGTAGTGCAGAGAGAGTTTGCTGGCAAGCTGAACACAGGACACGAGTCTCAGGACAAAGGTGTTGGTGATCTGATCCCTGACAGAGCTCCAGCTGCTCCTCTGGCCTTGTGTGCTCCCTCTGTCATCACACATCTGCTCTACCTGCTTGATCATGAACCTACAAAAGCCACAATTGCTCAGAGAATGGTTCTGGCTGCTGAGGAAAAGGAACAAAGGCAATTCTACATGCATGTATATATAATATATATATATAATATGTACACATATATGTGTATATAGATATATATTTTTATATATATAATATATACAACATACAATATATATATTATACATTATTATATAAATAATATATATAATATATATTTATATATATATATATTAGATACATTATAATATATATTATATACACATATATGTGTATATATCTAATATATATATTATGCATGTATTTTTTTATATACATCTATATATTATGTATGTGTATATATATGTATGTATGTATGTATATATAGGAGTATATGTAGAAGTAATAATTCAGATTAAATGAAAGAGGAGACAAAGCTCATTAATCCTCTGTGGTTTTGGGACAGAGTGAAACAGGGCTGGGCAGTAAAACCCCATCAGGGGATGGGAAATGTGCTGAGTGTTTAGGACTCTCATTACCGTTCAAGTAACTCCACTGCCTGGTACCGTGTGGACTGGTCCAAGTGCCATTTTTCAGACAAAAGGAATATAAATTCTGCAAAAAGCACAGCAAGCACTCATTGCAGGCTCCCGAAGCTCGGTGTACAGCTGCCCCGGGAGCTGCTGTGCTGAGCCTCACCCACGATCCGCGTCTCTTTGAAACACCCAGCCTGCTCGGGCAGCTCGCTCAGGTACTGCTCGTTCTCCTTGGCCAAGTGGATCAGGGTGTCCTCGATAATTTCAGGAGCAACCCCACTGAACACGGGCCCTGAGTCACGGCCCCGGCCTCCCAGGGGCACCTGAGTCCCCATGGAGCGGGGCAGGTCCGAGGCCGTTATGGCAGTGATTGCACCGGTCCTACGGGGAGAGACCGGCACGGGGCTCCTCCGCCTCCTCCCGGCCGCTCGGGGGCGGCACCGGGCCGGGTCGGACCGGGCTTTGGACAGGGCCCGGTTCAGGCCCCGGCCCGGTTCAGGCCCCGGGCGTTTCCCACCACGTGACCCCGCTCCGCCAATCAGCACCCGCCTATGCCACGACCGGCACCGCCCACTCGACGCCACGCGCCGCTTGGGCGCTCCGATTGGCCAGCGAGACCCGCCGGATGTGAGGTCACATCTCCGCGCGGGGACATCGGGGCAAGATGGCGGCGCCGAGGGAGCCGGGTGAGGCGGCCTTCGCGCGGCGCATCGACCCGGCCCGGGAGCCGGGGCTCAGCCCCGAGCAGCGCCGCCTCATGGCGCAGGTGGAGTACGCCCAGCGCCAGCGCGCCCTGCAGCGCCGGCTCCGCAGCCGCAACGTGCTGCTGGCGCTCGGCATCGGCGCGGTGACGTTTGGCATCTGTATCCTCCGGGGCCGCGGAACGGTGGGGCCGGGGGGCTCCGGGGCCGCGCCCGCTGCTTTTCCTTAACTCCCTCCGCAGACGGTTACACCTTCTACTCGGTGTCGCAGGAGCGGTTCCTGGATGAGCTGGAGCAGGAGGCGGAGGCGGCGCGGGCGCGGGCCCGGGCGCGGGCCGAGGGCACCGCAAGCTGAGCGGGGATCGCCCGGCCCGGCCCGGCCCGTGACTGAGCTGCCGCCTGCGCCAGGCAAGACGGGCCTCGAGGCAGATGCGCCTGAGGGGTTCGGGCCTGCCCCGTGCTCTGCTTTGGCCAGGAGAAGGCCCCGGGGGCTCCCCGCAGGCCGGGCAGAGCCCGCCCCGGGGCGGTGCCCGCGGGAGGGACGGGGCACCCGGGAGCCACCACTCCCCACAATAAATTCTCTCACTGGAGACTGCCCAGCGCCCGTTGTCACGGATCTCTTGGGCTGAGCCCGCCTGAGGGGGGTTTTTCTGCTTTTTGCTGTTTATCCTCACACAGTGAGGCAAGCAGCCACGCGTCCTGCCCGACACACACACGCAGAGCCAGTTTGTATTCAATCCACCTTTATGAAAACGCTTTTCCAACGCCAGTTCATATCAAACTCCTCCCGGAGCCGGCAGGGCCGCCGGGAGCTGAAGTCAGCCGCGGGGCTGGGGGGTCCTCAGGCAGGCTCAGCTCCTTCCAGCCACCAAGGACGGACACACCTCGCTTGTGTCCTCCCGCAGAGGGGCTGAGGACAGCGGGCAGAGCCCTGGGGACAGGCCTGCACCACAGCCGAGGGCAGCGCAGGCTCTGCAGGGCTGGCTCTGCCTCCCCGGGGCAGCAGGCACTTGGATGAGGTAGTTCATGGAGTCATTCCTGGCCAGCTGGCTACTGGGGAGAGAAGCAGCCGTGAACCGAGTGCCAGAGGAACGCCATGGCATCCCCGTGGGACCCGCCCTTGTCCCTTACCACGCGCCCGAGGTCATCAGCAAAGGTCACGCCCTTGTTGAGCCGCTGCTCCTGCGAGCCGGTGCTGCTGCCACTCAGAGAGTTCCGGCGCATGATGCCTGCGGGGATGGCACGGGTGAGGGCACGGGGCTGGGCAGCTCACCCGGAGCCCTGCCCGGTGGGGCATGGGGCTGTGCCGCTCACCCGGATCCCTGCCCAGTGGGGCACGGGGCTGTGCCGCTCACCCAGAGCCCTGCCCTGCCCTGCCCGGTGGGGCACGGGGCTGTGCCGCTCACCCGGAGCCCTGCCCGGTGGGGAACGGGGCTGTGCTGCTCACCCAGAGCCCTGCCCGGTGGAGCATGGGGCTGTGCCGCTCACCCAGAGCCCTGCCCTTCCCTGCCTGGTGGGGAGCGGGGAGCAGGCCCGGTACCTGCGGGCGGTGCCAGCTCCAGGCGCTGCAGGCTGTTGCGGCGGGAGGGGTTGAAGCTGCCCTTGGAGAGGCGGCGCTGGCGGCCTGACAGCATGGCAGCGGGTGAGACGATGCCCAGCGGCGGCTGCTTCCCCATGCGCAGGTACAGCTCCTCGATCTCCTTCTTCTGCGCGCTCTGCAGCAGCTGCACCTCCGCCAGGTGCCTGGGGAGAGGAGAGGAGAGGAGAGGACGGGGGCTGGCAGCGGGGCCTGGGGAAGGGACAGCGAGGTCCCCCCGGGCTGGCTGGGAGCGTGTGTGGCCGCCCAGGTGCAGCCCAGCCCCGGCTCACTTCTGGCGCAGGTTCTGCAGCTCCTCCCAGATCTCCTCGTCCTCGCTCTCGGTGTCGTCGCTGCTCACGTAGGACAAGCTGCGGGAGTAGCTCAGCCACACCTGGCTCAGCATGGCCTGTGGCACGTTTTCTGTGCTCTCTTCCCCAGGGCCCTCCCCGGGGTCGCTCCCCGCTGGTGCAGCGGGCGCAGAGCCCCCCTCGGCCGGCACCTCCTCAGCCTTGGGTGCCTCTGGTGCCACGTCCGAGTCGCTGCTGGAGCTGTGGCTCGTGTCAGGCACCGCGGGAGGCGGGGAGGCACTCGCTGCCGGCTCCGGGCCGGGCTGCTCCCCGTCACTGCTGCCCAGCCCCGCGGAGCTCACAGCCAGGTCCTTGGCTGGCACCACCTGGAACCGGCCCAGCACCTGGGGCTTGGCTTCTGCTGGGGACAGGGACAGCTGGTGGGCACAGGGACTGGCAGGGGCATTGCTGTGCCTGGCACGGCCTCAGCCCTGCCCCTCCTTACCTTCATTGATGGGCGAGAGCTGCGCCTTGGGCACACTGGGGGCTGGTGCCTCCGAGATGATCAGAGACTGGCTGGGCTTGGGGGCACCAGGCAGCACCTGTGGGCACCTGAGCACCATCAGCAGCCCCATCCCACGTCCCACCACATCTTCTGTCCTCCCCTATGGGCACCTGAGCACCATCAGCAGCCCTATCCCACGTCCCACCACATCTCCTGTCTTCCCCTCTGTGTCCTGGGATCTGCCACCCTCTCAGCCCTCCCTGCATCCCAGTGGCTCCACAAGCCACGAGGCTCCATCCCACCCCAGTGCAGCATCTGCAGCAAGCACCCAGCCCTGCTGGCACTGAGTTGCACCTGGAGCTGCCCTTGTGCACCCACACTCACCGTGCTGCCCTCTGCACTCCCAGGTGTGGATGTGCTCAGCAGCTGCACAGGGCTCCCCACGGCCTCACTGCCTGTGGGGCACGCTGGGGCTGGTGCCAAGGGAAGGGAGGATGTGGGCACCCCTGCAGTGGGGACAGCAGCTCCCACTGACTCTGGGGTCCAACTGCTGGGTGGGACTGGCTTGTCTGTGCTGGTGGGGTCAGGGTAGACAAAGCGTGGGGCACCCAGGGCAAGACTCTGCGGCCGTGGCAGCAGGGGTGGGTACAGGTGCCCACCTGAGCTGGCAATGGAGGAGACAGTGTGGGCCACAGTCATCACTGCCAGGGAGAAGACATTGGCCAGGGACAAGAGGGGAGCAGCGGGGGACAAGGGTGTGCTGGTCACAGTGGGGCTCAGGGGACTGGGGGGACTGCTGGGCTCACAGGGAACAGGGGGTGTGGGGACAGGCTGGGGGGACAGAAGGGCTTGGGGCAGGGCTGGGGGGACAGGCCCCCCTGGGGTCCCCTGGGGAGTCAGCGTTCGTGTCAGTGCTGGTGACGACGTGAGCCAGGAGGGAGCCATGGAGACGAGGGGCCAGGTCTGTGCTGGGCCTGCAGGGAGAGGAGCATCAGGAGCAGCCCCCAGGGCCCCCTCCTAGCCCTGCCCAGGGGGGCAGCTGGCAGTGCCCATGCCCACCCTGCCTGCACTGGTACCTGAGGGGGACCCCAGTGGCACCGGGGCTGCCGGAGGCTCCACAGGACTGGCCAGGTTGGTCTCTGACGGGGAGCGGCTCAGCAGCGGCAGCACAGGGGGCTGGACAGAGAGGCTGGGGCTGGTGCAGCTCAGGTCTGTGGCACAGGGTGACAGCCAGCCTCAGCCAGGGCAGGATGTGTCCTTTGAGACCCTCAGGGCTTGGCTGAGGCCATGCATGGGGCTGGGGGAGACAGGAAGGGTCTGCAGAGGGGCACAGACGTACCACTGAGCGAGGATGAGGAGGAGATGGAGCGCGAGAGCCCCTGCAGCTGCAGGTCCACCTGTGAGAAGGGTGAGCTGAGCCCAGCACTGGGGTAGAGGCCCCAGCCAGGCTGTGCCAAGCCCCCACTGGGCCCCACCCTGGCCCCACCACCTGTGGGGACAGGAGCTGGAGTCTCTTCTGTGCTGGGGAACACTTTGTCTTGTCACAGGAGCGGGCAAGCGACCACAGGAGGACCCTGCACCCCAGCCCCCACCCCGGACTCCCTGGGGCCAGGCAGCATCCCAAGCCATGCTCAGCAGCAGCACAGCAGCTTCCCCAGCGCTGGCAGGGCCAGGCTGGCACTCACAGGGCTGCCCAGAGCACTGTCAGCCTCGGGGCCCTTGGGCAGCTCGGTGCCACCGCGGCCGTCCTTGCGCAGCAGGGTCTCCACGCGGTGGATGATGTCCCGGATGCGGCTGATGAAACTCTCCCTCTCTGACTTGAGGATGAACTCATTGTGCACCTGAGGGTGGAGGGGTCAGTCAGCACCCAGCCCAGCCAGGCACACCCCACCTTCACCCTCCCCCTGCTCTCACCATGGCGGCTGCAATTTCCTCCGGGTTGTCCCCATCCAGGTCGAACTTGAAGGTCACCATCTTGTTGTTGTAGGTCTGCAGCTGGCACTCCACCACTCGGTCGTTCTTGTCAGAGATCTGTGGGTGGGAGGGCTGGCTCAGGATAACCAGGATGACCCACCTGGCCCCTGCCTGTCCCCAGCCTGGCTCTGGTGGCACTCACGTTGGTGATGCGCAGCCTGGAGCGGGCTCGGCGCCGCAGCAGCTTCCCCGAGGCCCTCTTGGGTGGCAGCTTGGTGCTCTGCTCGCTGGCTGACAGCCCCTCGTAGCCATCACTCATGCCCGATGCCACATCTGAGGTGTAGCTGCAGGAATCCCCAGCTCCAGAGCATCAGCATGGCCATTCCCAAGCACCACCCTCCCTGTCCAGCCCCCCCAGCCTCACCTGTCCACCGAGGAGGAGAAGCCACTGGCAGGGGGCAAATGCTCCGTGGGCAGCTGCACGGCGATGCTCTGCAGGGAGAGGAGGGGGTGAGCTGGTGCCACAGCTGTCCTGAGCTGGTGCCACAGCTGCCCTGAGCCAGTGCCACAGCTGGGGTGAGCTGATGCCACAGCTGCCCTGAGCCAGTGCCACAGCTGCCCTGAGCTGGTGCCACAGCTGCCCTGAGCCCCCCTGCCCCCGTGGGGCCGTGCTCACCGTGGGGAAGCAGCGCACAGGCCGGCTGGGGGTAGGGCTGGTGGGGTCCACAGCCACAAAGCTGCGATGGGCCAGGTCTGGCGAGTCCAGGAAGCCAGAGGAGCTCAGGTACCCATCAGTCTCACAGTCGGCTGTGGAGGAGAGCTGGCATGAAGCAAAGGCAGTGCCTTCCATGGCTGGGCAGCTGGGGAAGGGCTGTGGGGTGGGAGAAGCTGATGGACCCCCCCACCCACCTCCCAGCCCTGCTGCCCATCCGGCTGTTGCCCCCTCGGTGCCTACGCACAGGTGGCTGAGGAGTAGCTGGTGTGCCGGTAGGTGAAGTGCTGGTGCTGGTCAGCTTCGGGCTCCTCAGGCTCCAGGGGGAAGGTGCTGCTGAAGGCAGAGTCCCCAGAGCCAGGGGTGGCCGGGGCGGGCGTGGGGCCACCAGGTGGCAGCGGGGATTTGAGCTCCTCCAGGAGGCGCAGGACGCCTGGCGGCTGCTCTGGCTCTGCAGGTGATGGAGCGCCCTGGGCGCGCTTCAGCTTCTCCCTCTTGCGCTTGATGGCCACCACACGGTCCCGCACCGCCTTGGCCACCAGCTTGTAGTCAGCCTCACAGACAAAGCCCAGGACCACCTGCACAGGAGGGAG